TGAGATCTGAGGATTGCAGTTTGAAGCTGGCCCTGGGCAGAAAAGTCCCCGTGAGACTCTTTTTTTTTTTTTTTGGTCCAGTCGTGGGGCCGGAACTCTGGGCCTGGGCGCTGTTCCTCAGCTCTTCAGCTCAAGGCTAGCGCTCTACCACTTGAGCCACAGCGCCACTTCCGACTTTTTTCTTTTTGCTTATGTGGGACTGAGGAATCGAACCCAGGGCCTCGAGCATGCAAGGCGAGCGCTCTACCATTGAGCCCCCCCCCCCCCCCCCCCCCCCCCCCCGTGAGACTCTTATCTCCAATTAACCATTCAAAAACTGGAAGTGGCATTGTAGATCAAGTGGTAAAGCACTAGCCTTGAGCATCAAGAGTCTCAGGCCTCAGCACCCAGCCCCTGAGTTCAAGTCCCACAACCAACAAAAAATAAAAATAAAAAATAAAAAAAATCAGTACAGCTGCCCCAGTGGCTCACATCTGTAATCCTAGCTATCAGTAGGTTGAGATCTAAGAATCACTGTTCAAAGGCAGCCAGTCCAATTAATCACCAAAAAATTGGAAACAGAGCTGTGGCTCAACAGATAGAACACTTGCCTTGAGCAAGAAAAACTCAAGAATGGCACCCAGGCCCTGAGTTTGAACTGGGGGAACTCAGGTCTAGGGGATGGGGAGTGGGGGGAGAAAATATGCTCATGTATGCATGGACAATAAGCACACGAAAATATGCTTGACCATATGCAAATCAAAACCACAATAAGCCAGGTATGAAGGATCAAACCTGTAATCTCAACACTCAGGAGGCTGAGGCAGGAGGATTGGGAGTTCCAGGTCAGCCTGGACTACACAGTGAGATCTTGTCAAACAAACAAGCAAAAGAACGCCCATGAGATTATCTCTTCACACCCTTTAGGATTTCTACTAAAAAGACTATAGACATTAGCAAGTGTTGGCAAACATATGGAGAAATTCCTACTAGAAGAAATGCAAAATGATACAGATTCCTTGGAAAAGAGTCTAAAAGTTAAAAGTATATATTAAAGAGAAATAAAAATACAAAAACCCTCACAAAACTTATAATTATAGGTGTATTATACATAATAAAAAAGGGTAGAAACCACTCATGTGTCCACCAATGGATGAATACACAAGAAGAGCTGTATATGTATATAATAGAGTATTTATTACTCAACAATAAGGAAAGAATGGAATAGTGATATATGATACAACATGGAAAACCTCAAAAACACTGTTTGAGCCAGACATTGGTAGCTCAGAAGGCTAAGATTTAAGGATCGAAGTTTGAAGCCAACCTACGTAGGAAAGTCTGTCAGACTCTTATCTCCAATTAACCACCAGAAAACCAGAAGTGGCACTGTGTCTCAAGTCCTAGAGCACTAGCCTTAAGCACAAAGAGACTCAGGGATAGTGCCTAGGCCCTGAGTTCAAGCCCCAGGACCGGAAAAAAAAAATGGAAAATCCAAAAAAGTCCAGGCACTGGCGGCTCATGCCTGTAATTGTAGCTACTCACCAGGTGAGGCTGAGATATGAGGATCACAGTTCAAAGCTAGCTGGGGCAGGAAAGTCCATGAGACTTTTATCTCCAATTAACCACCAGAAAACCAGAAGTGGTACTGTGGTTCAAGTGGAAGAGTGCTTGCCTTAGCTAACGAGCTTAGGGACAGAGCCCAGGCCCAGAGTTCAAGCCCCACAACCTACCAAAAAAGAGAAAAGAAAATCTAAATTCTATTTATGAAACAGAGAAATCTTTAAAGGAAGGAAGAAAAGTAGTGGTTGTCTAAGGTTGGAAGGATGGAAGGGATAAGGCAGAGTATTCATTTTTTTTGCAAGATAAAAATATTCTAAAATTGTAATGGTTGTACAACTCAGTGAATACACTAAAAACTACTGAATTTACACTAAATGAATGACTGTAATTCTTCCAAATATTTACATTCTTCCAAATGTATAAATGCACTATTTTCCAAATTACTCTTCATCTAGACTAGGAGTTGTTAAACTTTTTTCTGCAGAACCAGACGATATTCTGGGCTGTGTAGGCCATGTGGTCTCCATTGCAACTATTCAATCCTGGTATTATAGTGAAGGCAGCCATATAATATGTAAATTAATAAAGGTTGCTCTGTTCCAATAAAACTTTATTGACAAAAACATGTCTGATGTAAAGACTATATAAACTTCCTCAATCCAAACCACATTACAGCAGAGTGCATAATGTCTCTCATGTGATAAAGACCCTAGATGCTATCTTGTCCAGTTGGCAATTTGTAAACAGTAGAGACAAGACTTCTAACCTTGCCGGGCTCAGGTGGCTCACGCCTGTAATCCTAGCTACTCAGGAGGCTGAGATCTGAGGATTGTGGTTCAAAGCCAGTCTGGGCAGTCAGTGAGACTCTTATCTCCAATAAACCACTAGAAAACCAGAAGTGGCGCTGTGGCTCAAGTGGTAGAGTGCTAGCCTTGAGTTGAAGAGCATGGGGACAGAGCCCAAACCCAGAGTTCAAGCTCTACTACCAACTAAAAAACAAAAAACAAAAAAACAAAACAAAAAAAACTTCCAGCCTCGACTTCTTGGGTATGTGCCTTCAACCAGACACACTGCTTGTTCAGAACATCTACCCCCTCCAAGCATTTGACAGATCTCAGACAGAAAGGTACAAAACTGCAGGGCCATAATAGCCTTACCCAGTTCTCTTTGCTGCATCATCATCTCCTTTTCCATACCTCAGTGAACCCTCCCTAAACCATTCCTCTCTTTTTGATGACCTTAGATGTTTAGATTTTCTTAAGCCAAGTTCAATCCACTTGCAACTGAAGTCTTCATTGAGAAGGATTCACTTGGGTTTAATCCTCCACCACTCCAAAAATGCACAAAGATCTCCTGATTGGTAAGGTTTTTGTGGCACACAGACCTGATGCTTTCATGCATTCCTAATTCTCATTATCTTTGACTACTTACCAATTGCTAGGTACTCCTACTGGCTTAAACTATAAACCCGTAGATGTGCAGTGGAAAGGAAAAAAGATGGTAGATCAAGTGCCACAATGGAAAGCAAGCAGCATCCATCACCTAAATGAACCCAGTGCTTTTGCCAACTTAGTGAACTCCTGAGAGTGTCCTTTTCATTTCTGAGATGCCCTTGCTTAGTCTTTTTTTTTTTTTTTTCTGTCTGTTTTGCTTGAAATGAAGTCTCACTAGTCCAGCCTGGCCTCAAATTCCTTGGCTCAACTGATCCTCCCTCTTGGGTAGCTGGGATTACAGGAGTGCACCATACCAGGATTCCTTCTTTCTCTTTACTGACTTTGCACTACCTGGGGACCTTCATTTAGGTCCCCAAACATGAAATCTCCATTTATGTAAAATTATGGAACTTTGTAGCCAAAAGGATCCTCATGGGTAACCTAGTGCTTCAACTCACTAAAGAATGAAGATATAGTACATGCCTAAGATCACAGTACCTCTAGAGTTCTGAATTTCTTAAAGTGGGCAATGCTGCAAGGATCCATACCTTGTTGTCACCTCTGGACAATCTTCAATCCTCTTCCTCATTATTGGACTCTTATTCCATCTTTTAAGCCCTACCATCATCAATGCCCTTTTATCCAAAACGCTCGTCACTGAATACCCACTTACAGCGGTCTCCATAGTTGCTTTAACACAGTGTATTATAAGCTACCCTGTTTACTCGGGATAAAATAACCTGCACTTCACATCACCCGGGTGAAACAATCCATTTTGATGACCACTGTGCTTCTTGCTCCCAGTAGAGAAAATTTGAATGGAGTGTCACTGCTTTTGATTCACTGAAATCACCCTGGCTCTCACCCGAAAATCTCTCTCCAGCAGCAGTGAAAGAGCCACCAACTTCTAGGCTTCATCATGGTCAGAGGATAGAGGAGACTTCTCCCCTAGAAAGTTCTAGAGAAGGTTAAGATTGTAGTAGAGCACTGGGACAGAGGGCCTGGAAACAGGCAGAGATGTGGGATGGCAAACTGAAAGTCCATCCCCTCTGTGCCAGGTTTTGTGCTAGGTGCTGGGACCAGCTTTTGCCCTGCACAAAGGTCACCGTCTGCTCTGTGACCTTGGAAGTTTTGATCCTGAGTCTAAATTGCCCAGTCTGGAAATATCAAGATATCGGCCTCCCTATTTAAAGAAACCTATTAACTTTGAGAAAAGCCTTACAGGCCAAATGTCAATCACTGTCTCACGCCCTGACCGTAGTACGCCCCACTCTGGTCTTCCCGGCCCTAGTCTGGGCTTCCCTTTATCATCTATAGCAGGGCTGGATTGGTCTGAACAACCTCGTGGGTCTCTTCGCCTGGGTCACCCCACCTTGGCACGCAAGAAACCCTCTACCAACTCAGCTGGCCGGGACCTGGGCCAAAAGGTAACGTGTCCTGGCCTCACCTGTCGGCGGGACATAGGCCCGGGCTGGAGGCTGAGGGGCTGACCTCGGCCTCACGGAGGCGGCAGGGTCACCTGCAGGCCGGTTCAGGAGTCGGAACCCTGGCTCCCGCAGCCGGAGCCAGCTCCTCCACATGCTGCCAGAGGGGTTGGGAAGACTCGCGGCGCGAAACCTGAAAGCCGGAAGTAGAGCAAGGGGATCCCTTAGCCACACGCTCGGGCTGTACGGAAACCTCTCACCGCCTCTCCAGAGCCATCAGGTTCCGCTGGACGCCGCCATGTTCGCATGACACCTACCGCACGCCGTCGCCTCGGCGCGCCTCCGGCGCCCTCCCCTAGTCAATCAGCATCACAAACGAGCTCGCCCCGCCCTCTCCACGCCGCGCTTCCAGGAAAAAAGACTACAAGTCCCAGAGGGCCGCTCGCGAGCTCCGCCACATGTTCTCCCCACTCGCCAATGGGCGGAAGCGCCGCGTGAACTGGTTCCCGCCCCCCGGGCGCGCCCGAGCCAATCGGAAGGGGCGGTGTGTGTGCGAGGGCAAGTGGGAAGGGGGACCCAGCTCAGGACAGGGAGGCCCTGCTTGCAGGTCCTGGGGTCCCGGTGGCGGCCCGAGCGCTCGGTGCGCAGGCAGCGGGCGGGTGGTCCCCACCCCCACCGGCGCGTGCGCGCCCGGCCCCTCCCTCCCCACCCTCCTCTGCTCCCGCGCGGCGGCGGCGGCGGTTCCTCTCCCCCTCCCCCCAGCCCTGGCTCCGGGGGACCCCGCGATGCCGGTCCGCACCGAGTGTCCCCCGCCGGCCGGTGCCTCGGCTGCCTCTGCGGCCTCTCTCATCCCGCCACCGCCTATCAACACCCAGCAGCCCGGCGTGGCCACCAGCTTGCTCTACAGCGGCTCCAAGTTCCGCGGCCACCAGAAAAGCAAGGGGAACTCATACGACGTAGAGGTGGTGCTGCAGGTGAGCGCCGGGCCGGGCCGGGCCGGGCGGCCCGGGGCCCGAGGGCCTCCTCGCGGCGCTCACGGGTGTCGCCCTCCCTGGGCTCCTCGAGCCCGCAGCCGCGGACCAGGCCCTCGCCTCCTGGGCCTCCTGCACCCGGCGCCTCCCACCCGGACCTGTCCAGCTGGTGCCTCGCACTCTCGAGCCCCAGCCCATACCTCCTTTCAGACCCCAGAGTCTGTGATGACTGAACCCCCGGCAGACCCCCGAACCTTGTCCTAGAGTTGAAGCCCTTGACCGGCTCTCCTGGGATCCGGAAGCCTCCCCTCCCCTTCCTTGACTGCCCTTCTGCTGGCCTGGGTCCTTCCTTCCCAAGACCCTACGACCAGCGAAGCCTTCCCGCCAGCCCTTCTCCGACCCCGAATTCTCCACTGGTTTCTTCAGACTCCGTGCCCTCCTCGGGATGGCTCATGTCATATCCTCCCAGATTTGAGACATATGCCTCCTATCCTCAGACCCTAGAACCTTTCTCCCTGCTGTTACGGAGTTGGAAGAGCCTATCAGCCCCTCGGGAAGTGGGAGTAACCTGAAGAAGACACTCCGTTGGCTAAGATTCCTCTCCCAGCCCCCCCCCCACCCCCCAGCCCATAGCTGATTTCCTCAGTCCCTGGTTTCCTGCAAACTGCTGTTAGGACCTTGCTTACCCTGGGGTGCCCAGGAATACCACCTTCTTCAGTCTCCTGCCTTGTGTTCCAGCCACTTCCCATTCCATCCTGGCCTCTCATCCTGATCTCCCTCCCCATAATCCATCTAGCTTACTGCTACCTCCCAAGAGACCTCTCTCTCAGTGTTAACTTTTATGTACAAGGCCACAGGGCTTCCACCTCAGATACCAATGTACTGGGAAATCTAACTCAGTTTTGTGTCATGTCCTCTCACCTCTCCTATTTGACCCAGATTTCTGTGTACCTGTCCCTGGAACCACACCTGCTCCACCCCTTTCCCATAGCTCAGCTCTCTCACAGTTGCACACTGGACACTTCTGCCCCAGCCCAAGGATATGGATGGTGGTGCAGATAGCCACTTATTTCCATTCCTTAAAAAAAACGGTTGCTCTGCTTTGACCCCCTAACCACCTGAGGGTGCCCTTTCACCCTCCCTTTGCTGGTTTTCCTGACCCTGCCTCCTAGGCTGTCCCCAACCTCCTCTCAACACCTCTTCGTTGAAAGCCCTGCCAGAGGCCCTGTATGCAGCCTCACTGCCCCTGTGTGAAGATGGGATGTGCAGTGTGCTTGTTCCTCTGCTGCCCTTTGCCTTTTCTAATTACATCTTTGTCTCTTGACCAAGTACTTCTCCCACCCAAAGACAACAAGAATGTCTTTTTTGTTCCTCCTGGGGCTTGAACTGGGGGCCTGGGCACTGTCCCTGAGCTCCTTTGCTCAAGGCAAGCACTCTATCACTTTGAGCCACAGTGCTACTTCCAGTTTTCTGGTGGTTAATTGGATTCTCAGACTTTCTTGCCTAGGCTGGCTTCAGGTCTCAGCCTTCTGAGTAGTTAGGATTACAGGCATGAGCCACTGGTGCCCGGTCAGCCTCTTTTCTTACTGATTTGTGGGAATTCGTTTTCTTTGATTTTCATATGAAAACTACATCTTCATGTTACTTTTATGTCCTACCTATAAACCTAAAGTTCTGGCATGAGCCAAGGTATGTTGAAAACTACTCTGGCAGGGATATTTATTTCTTGTAACTGTGCGTAGGACTGAAGATGGGGTCTGTTGGTAGAGCACTTGCCTACCATGCGCACCTAGCACCACAAGAAAGCAAAAATAACTGCCTAATGTGGTAATTTCTTTGTTGCTTAAAATGTAAGGCTTTCAGCTAATCATAAAATTCTAGAAGTGAGATTCCTGGTTAGTCATGTTTGGAATGGTCCTGAATTTGTGCCCTTATGGTGGTTTTTGAAGTGGCAGGGGACAACTGGCAGGGTAGCTAGGTGTCTGCTAGAAGTCTGCATTGGTTCCTGTAGCAACTGCTTCCTTCTGTTAATAGTGTGTTATTTCTGACCTTATGAGGTGCTAGTCTTCTTGTGACTCAGTGGAAGTAGTGATTGAGTTGGGGCACAGCTGGGCCATGTCAAGAAGCCATTGAGTAGGATGTGTGCTGGGGGGGAGGGTGTCATGGATGTAGCCCTGCATCTGGATTGGTGAGCTGCTCTTGTGGGGAGGGGGCGGTTGTCATGCTATGGAATGCAGCCCTACATCTGGATTGGTAAGCTGCTCTTGTGCATCACTGTCACCAGTCAGTGGCATGTGAATTGCTCCATCATCTGGTTTTTCAGCCAGGACTAGTTTCTTCCACTCCACCTTCATTTCTCTGTACATTTCTTTCCTGTCTTTCATCACTGTAGTCATCTTCTTTCTTACTTGTTTTTCTTTTCTCTTTCTTCCTAAGTACCTTATTGAGATATTACTAACATGCCACAGTTTACCTAGTCACCTTAGTAGTTTATAGTATATTCACAAAGCTGTGAGACCATCACTATAACTTAATTTCAGAACATCATCACTTCCCAAAATAAACCTTTATATCCTTTAGTCTTTCCTCTGATTTGCCTATTCTGGGCACTTCATATAAACAGAATTATACAGTATTTAGCCTTTTGTGACTGGCTGCTTTAACTTAGCATACTATTTTGATGGGTCATATCTTAGCATGGATCAACATTATTCCTTACTACTGTTGTATCATCCATCATAATGATTGTCCATGTGCAGATAGACAACATTTCATTTGTTCTTTTTTTTTTTGCCTGTTACAAATAATGCTACAACATTTTTTGCTTGTTTTTGAGACAAGGTTGTACTAGGTTTACTTGCTGGTTTTGAACTAGGCTGAAGTAATCTTTCTCCTCGGCCACCCAAGTGCTGGACTCCAGTCATGTACCACCATATTAGGCTCATGTAGAAGTTTTTATGTAGATATAGGTTTTCACTTTTCTTGAAGGGGTAGACAGGAGTGGGATGGTTGGTCATATGGTAACTATGTTTAAGAGTTTAGTGATTTTTAAGTGATTATTTTATGACTGTGGCAGCAGTATACAAAGGTTTCAACTTCCCCACATCTTCAGCAACACTGTAATATGTCTTTTTGGTATGGCCGTTGTAGTGGTGAGCAGTGGAATCTCATTATAGTCTTGGCTTGAACTTCCCAAAGGATGTTGTGCAGCATCTTTCTGGTTCTTTGTAAAGCACTTTCTGTTTTGATGTTCCAGTGTAAAGAATTCCCCAAATCTTTGTGGATTTGTGACTTTTCTCCTCCTCCCTCTTAAGTTGTCTACTCTTTTCTCCTTCTGCCATTCCAGAAGCCACCAATAGAATGAAACTGAGAACCCTGTGAAAATAGTATTTTAAAAGAGCAGTTGTTGGACACAGCTGTCCTGTGAGACCCTCTTGCTAAACATTTGCCCTGTTATCTTTCTCACTGAGATGCTGGCCCTCTCCTATGGTGAAAGCTGTATGTGTTGTGGGGTAATTTAAGTTCTTCAGTCATCATCAATGGGAGAGTGGGAGAGATACATGGTTGAATGAAAGCCAAACAGAAATTATGATTCTTGAGCATGTAGTAATCTATGCAAATGCAAGCCAACTTATAGTCCAATTTTTAATATTATCAAGTGTCCCTGCCACCTAATACACTCATTCCAGCAGCTGTGAAAACCCAAACAGTACTAAATTTAATGAGAATTGAATACAAATATATGACCTTTAATAAAAGTTCTTTGCTGAACCATGTTAGTGTAGATCAGCTGTTTTCAGTAATGTCCAGTGCCAAGGTCAACAGATGAAGGTATCTGAAATGGTTTGGCAGTTTTTGCATGGATTCCATTCCTCTGTCACCAGCTCTGAGCTGTACAGGTACTTTAGCTCATTTGCTTTGGTGCTGACATCATCTGGCTGACTAAGTTCATTACAGTTTTTAAGGACTGCCTGAGAATTTGATTTATGGCATAATTGGAAGTAGTTGAGTTCCCAAATGTGCTAAGTACCAGAAAACCTTTCTACTTTTTTTTTAACCATTCTTTTATTGCTTTGTAGTACCCTTTCTAGTTTTTGAAGTGAGACCTCACTTAACATGAAAATGTCCATGTGCTCCAGAAGTTACTGTACATTGTTTTGCTTTAATTCAGAGGTTAATAGGAATAGTTTCCCACTTCACAACAGTTGGACTCACTTTAAGTCATGAACTCTGAAATCCTGCCAGTTCAGGATGAGTCTGTAGATTTGCAAATGTCTGATTAGTGTGCTTTCAGCTCCAAGTAACCATGCTTGTTTTTTTTTGTTTTTTTCTTGGTCAGTTTTAGGGCTTGAACCTCAGGACCTGGGTGCTATCCCTGAGCAACTTTTTGCTCAAGGCTAGCCCTCTACCACTTGAACCACAGTGCCACTTCCAATTTTCTGGTGATTAATTGGAGATAGAAGTCTCATGGACTTTCCTGCCTGAGCAGGCTTCAAACCATGATCCTCTCATCTCAGCCTCCTGAGTAGCTAGGATATAGGTGGCCAAGTAATCATATTTTCCATTTCAAAATAGCTTACAGAGGGCTGGGAATGTGGCTTACTGGCACAGTGCTTGCCTAGCATGCATGAAGCCTTGGGTTTGATTCCTCAGTACCACATAAACAAAAAAAGCCAAAAGTGGCTCTTGGCTGGGGGGAAAAAAAAAAAAGCTTACAGAATGAATAAACTATTATCTCACCCTAAAAGGAGTTTGAAGGTGATGTGATCTGAGGTTAGTTAAGGGGTTCTTGATGGGCCCAATATTTTCCATCTTTCTGGGCTGCCCCTCTAGCATTCCCTGGCCTGTTTCTCCTGGTCTTTCACTGGTTATCTTGGGACTAGATGCATGTTGCAGATACTATCACCTCCAGAGGAAGAAAAAGAGCCACTTCTTCCTTACATGCTTCTTCAAAAGCCACTCATCTTCCAGGCATACCTAGGGAAAGATATTCTGGGTAGTATCTGATTGGCTAAAATAGGGTCACTCTTCCATAATTTGATGACTCACAAGGAGGTAGGCCCCATGATTGCTTAGGGTCTATTAGGGTTGACCTGGTCTTACAAATAAGGTAGGTACCAGAACAAAGTTAGGCCCTTCTGGGGTTGAAAGAGAATCTGGCTGTTGAATAGACATCTAACAGGATCTCAGCAACCAGTAATTGGTGGCCACTACACAGCTACTAAAGCTACTATACCTGTTATATTTATTTTCACTTCCTAGATTTTTTCATTAAGAAACAAACATCAGTGTATAGAAGGACCAAGCAGGCATTCATTGTCTAGTCAGACTTTTAGTTGACTTTTTGATTCATAACTAAAATTTATGCCACATAACTATTCCTAAGATGCTCTTCCTGAATATTTGGTTCATTGCATAAGAAAATAATGTAAGATGGTGCTTTAGTATAAATAAGAGGGAAGGAGTAGATTTCCTAGACAAGTGAACAGCAGTGAAATAGAAACAATAAAATAGAAGAAAATCAATCCTGGGATTAGGGATGATACCATGCACCAGTACACACTCTTATAGGTACGTGAGGTGTGTTGGAAACACATGGCTGAAGTGTAAGCAGACACATTGTTTCAGAAGGCACTTCAATCTCAGGGTGTCCAGCTGAAGGAAATCTAGAGGTCCTAGGATCCCTTTTGGGTAGGCACTGATCACCAGGCCTTCCTAACCCAGCCTGGCCCCAAAGGTTTTCCAAACCACCCCCTAGCATGTCCTGAGTTTATCCAGCCATTTTTTTTTTTTTTTTTTGTCGGTCATGGGGCTTGAACTCTGGGCCTGGGCGCTGTCCCTCAGCTCTTCAGCTCAAGGCAAGCGCTCTACCACTTGAGCTACAGCGCCACTTCCGGTTTTCTGGTGGTTTATTGGAGATAGGAGTCTCACTGTCTCTCCTGCCTGGGCTGGCTTTGAACCACGATCCTCAGATCTCAGCCTCCTGAGTAGCTAGGATTACAGGCGTGAGCCACCAGCGCCCGGCTATCCAGCCATTTTTAACATGTTGTATGTCCTCTCTTTACAGCATGTGGACACAGGAAACTCTTACCTTTGTGGGTATCTGAAGATTAAAGGCCTTACTGAGGTAAGCACTCATCACAGGACCCACGACTGGGACATGGATGGATGGCTTGCTCAGGAAGCCTCTTTGTGCTCAAGGCTACCGCTCTACCACTTCTGGCTTTTTCTCTTCATGTGGTACTGAGGAATCAAACCCAGGGCTTCATGCATGCTAGGCAAGCACTCTACCACTAAGCCACATTCCCAGCCATGAGTAGCAAGCTTTGAAGTTCTAAGTTCAACTCCTGCTGAAAAATTCCAACCCAGGAACCAGTAGAAAAAAAGAAGAAGAAGAAGAAAAAAAAAAAGACAAGGAGCATCCCTTCTTTTTCATTAGTAGGGAAACAGGAAGAGGAAAGAGGGGCCAGAACTGGACTGTGTGAGAGCCTGGGTGTGACTCTGCTCCAGAGTCCTGTAGCTTTTTATCAATTCTTATAGACTTGATGACCCAGCAAAACTGAGCTGTGTTGGACACAGCTGGATAACATTCTCACTCTGCCCCTTACTGGTTCTGTGACCTTTAATTTCTCTTATTTCAGTTTCCTCATATGTAAAATGAGAATGAGAAATCCCTGCCCTGCTTACTCAGTGATTTGTCTCAAGGGGAGGAACCCTGTTAGAGTAAATGGTAGAGAGATTGATTTGAATGTGGAATGTGGAAGGCCCCAGCCTCAGCCCTCTCCTCCTTTTCTATATTTGAAGCTCGGTTGAAGATTCCCTAGGAAGTTTATGGTGGAGACAAAATGCCATCTTCATCTCTAGAAATGGATCCAGTCAGGTAGGGGTAAAAAGTGATAGCATAGGATTCTAACTATTGGGTTTGTCAAAGGAGAAAAACGTTTGTCAAAATTTATTTAGCTCTTAAGGCAGCCACGTGCATTTGTTAATGGAGTACAGAACATATACTTTTACATGACAAGAAAAACAGCAAAATATATAACACACTGGAATGTTAACTTCACAAGAAAAACAAAATATATCACACACTGGAATAATAACGGTAACTCCAAAGCCAGTCATTTGGGTTGTAGGTAGCTATGCAAAAATGGTAGTGGAATTAAAAATCTGGAAAGAATGTAACAAGTGTGAGAGGCTGAGAATGCTTCCCCTGGAGCAAGCAACAGAGAGGCAGGCCCTCTGAGTTGGGAGTGCCTGCTGGGCTTCCTCACTGAGAGTGCAGGCATGACCTGCCACAAGGACTAGCCCACACGGACTCATCCCTCTTGGCAAGTCCATTTTCTATGTGTCAAGTGCCCTTGGAAGGCATACACCCTCCCCAGACATGGTCTGCTCCAGGTCCAGTAATAACTCCACTATAATGTCTCAGGACATTTAGTGAAAAGTCTTATATTACCTGGAATTTGTAGATCCTCCCCAGGCACAGGAAACTTGGAATTCTAAATAATTTCTAATAGCTTTATTGAGATTCTGGTCACATACTATACAATTCATCCATTTAAAGTGTACAGTTTGCTGCATGCCAGTGGCTCATGCCTATAATCCTAGCTACTCAAGAGGCTGATATCTGAGGAACTCAATTCAAACGGGGCCCAGGTAGGAAAGTCTATGAGACTCTTATCTCCAATTAACCACCAAAAAAAGTAAAAAATGGAGCTGTGGCTCAGGTGGTAGAGTACGAACCTCAGCAGAAAAAGGAACAGTGCCCATGCCCTGAGTTCAAACTCCAGAACCAGCATAAATAAATAAATTTATGCCAGGGGTCCATGGCTCATACTTGTAATCCTAGATACTCAGGAGGCTGAGATCTGACGATTGCAGTTTGAAGCCAGACTGGGCAAGAAAATCTGTGAGACTCTCACCTCCAGTTAAGCACCAGAAATGCTGGAAGTGGGGTGGTTTCAGTAATAGAGCACTATCCTTGAGCACAGCTCAAGGACATCACCAAGCCCTGAGTTCAAGCCCCAGGAATGGCACAAGAAATAAATTTAAAGTGTATGATTCATTCACTTTGAAGACATTCAGTGCTGTTTAGGTGTTTAATAACTTTAAAAAGTGTGTATCTTACATATGGTTGCCATAGATGATTTTAGCAAAATGCAGAAAACCATAATGAATATTTGAATGAATTTTCTATCTGTGCTAATTATTTTTGTTTACTTACATTGTTAAAGTGTCAAATGTATAATTTATTTAAACTATGTAAATATTTTGGGGCTTAGCATAGTAGTTGTCTTTGGGATGTATGCAATAGTAAAAATATAATTGGACATAATTGCCTCACATCAGCAAAGCCCAACTTTAGAGATTGTGTGCCATTTTAAAATCCCACAAATGTAGAGAATGGATATTAAACAGCATTCTCTTTGTATTCTGAGCTAGGCACTAGTAGGGAGAGAGACATTTTCCAAGCAGCTGTTGTATAGGAGCCTAGCTTTGGCCTGGATAGTGGTCAGATCCTGTACTCTTTAGAGATTTGAAAGGTCCAGTCCAGGTTGGAAGCTTGTGTGGAAGCAAGGAGACAAATCACACTTAACCAAACCCACAAGGGACTGATATATGAACCACAGTGCTATTTACAAAAATAAATACCTATCTATTGTAAAACTTCTCACTGACTTACTGACCAAGTGAAAGTTAATGCCTTCAGAAGATAGGACTGCATGGAAAGCCAGAGCAACCATAATGCACAGTTGTGGGTGAGCATGGAATCAGCAGCAAGAGCTTTGCATGACCTCAGTGGCTGGAGCCGATGTCTCCTTCTAATACCCCTCCTATTGGTGCGTTTTGTTCTTGGGCTCTGTAAATTATTTCCAATTTGGCTGTATAGTCAAGTACATGGGCTTCCTGCCTCTACCCTGAGAAATAGCTTGTCTAGGCTGACTTCTATACATATCAGATCTCCTTCACTAGGCATTTAATTCTGAGTTCGAAAATGTCTTGTCACCCCCAGATACTGACTAAAGTGTTGGAGAGAAATCAGGCCAGAATCATCCCTTAGGGAAATGACAGATTAAACCATAGGTACTTTATATATATTAGGACTCTTTTGTCATTTTATCCTTCTGACTCTGGTAGGACTCCTGAGAAAGATAATAAAGCTCAGTGATTAAAATCTCATGTCAGATACTTTTTCCCTTAGTAGGCCTTCCCAAAGACAGATTGTTTAGTTTGTGCCTTAGTGATGAGGTTTCTGGACTGGGGGTATGGTGGCTAATGCCTATAATCCTAGTACTCAGGAGGTAGAGATTGGGAAAATTGTAGTTTCAGGCCAACTTGGACAAAGAGTTTGCAAGACTATCTGAACCAATAAAAGCTGCTGGCCGGGCGCCGGTGGCTCACGCCTGTAATCCTAGCTACTCAGGAGGCTGAGATCTGAGAATCGCTGTTCAAAGCCAGCCCGGGCAGGAAAGACTGTAAGACTCCTATCTCCAATAAACCACTAGAAAACCGGAAGTGGCGCTGTAGCTCAAGTGGTAGAGTGCTCGCCTTGAGCTGAAGAGCTGAGGGACAGCGCCCAGGCCCAGAGTTCAAGCCCCATGACCGCCAAAAAAAAAAATAAAATAAAATAAAAAATAAAAGCTGCTGTATTAATGTATGCCTGTCATCCTAGCTACATAAGAAACATAAATAAGAGGAACCTGGTCCAAATTGGTCCCAAGAATAAATATAATGGTAAGACCCTGTTCAAAAAATAAAGAAATGGGCTGGGAAGGTGGCTCAGTGGTAGAGTGCTTGCTTTGCATGGATAAGGCCCTAGGTTTGATTCCTCAGCACCACATAAGCAGAAAAAGCTGGAAGAGCGCTAGCCTTAAGCTGAAGAGCTGAGTGACAGCATGTAGGCCCAGAGTTCAGGCCCTATGACTACCAACAACAACAACAATAATGATGATGATGATGATGAGGATGATGGTGATGATGATGAAAATAGCCGGGCACTGGTGGCTCACATCTATAATCCTAACTCTTCAGGAAACTGAGATCTGAAGATCATGGTTCAAAGCCAGCCTGGGCAGGAAAGTCCCTGAGACTCTTTTATCTCCAATAAACCACCAAAAAACAAAGTGGCACTATGGCTCAAGTGGTAGAGCTCTTGCCTTGAGCTGAATTGCTCAGGGACAGCACCCAGGCCCAGAGTTCAAGCCCTACAACGGACAAAAGAAGAAAGAAATAAAATGGCAAGAAAGAGAGGGAGGGAGGAAGGGAAGAAGGAAGCAAGTTAGGAAGTTAAACATAAAGGGCTCAAGGAATAACCAGAATGGTTAAGTGCCTGGCTAGCAAGCATGAGGTTCTGAGTTCAAAAACCAGTATTGCCCCCTACCCTACCCCCCGCAAATAAAAGATGATTTCCATTTGTGAAAATTTTCCCTCCCTCCCTTTCTTCCGTCCTGTCTGTCTGTCTGTCTTTCCATCTTTCTGTCTGGTGGTACTGGGAATTAAACTTAGCTTAATCCTTGTTAAACAACCACTCTACCACTCAAGTCACAACTCTAGCCCCTCTATAGTCCAGGGACACCAAGTCAGTAATCTACTGTGTTCAGTGTTCATACTGTTCAGTCCACCAAGCAAGCCCCTTGCTCACAGTTTAGATTTCTTTCTTTTTTTAATATATGGAATTTTTATTAGCATCAGTTAGTTGTATAATGAGCAGTTTAGGTTTATTTCTACAGCCCAGTGGCAAATCAGCTGAATCTAACTCTGGTTTTGATTATTTGCAATGTGATGGGAAAAAAGAATAAAATTGCTTCTTTCTGAAAGGTTAAAACGAGGGAATGGGGATTATATGTGGCTCAGTAGGAAAGTATATTTTTAGCAGACTTGAGGTCCTAACTTCAGTTCCCAAGTTTAAACAAATTTAAAATGCTCATTCAGAGTCTGGGGATGTAGCTCAATGGTAGAACAATTACTTAGCATGTATGATCCATCCAAAAAAATGTTTGTTCAATATCTTATTTGTCTCTTTTATAGGAGTATCCAACTCTTACAACCTTTTTTGAAGGAGAAATAATCAGCAAAAAACACCCTTTCTTAACTCGCAAGTGGGATGCAGATGAAGATGTTGATCGGAAGCACTGGGTAAGGTAGTGCTCTGCCTAGAATTTGATGCTAGCTGGAGAGCTGACAGAACTCAGGAGCCCTCACTGATAATAAGTGGAGGCTCTGCAGTGAGGGGCAACAGGTTCCTACACACAGGCTTTAGATTGTTCCATCCTCCTTCTAAAAAGTTCTTACATAGCACATTTGTGCCAGACATCAGTGGCTTATACTAATAATCCTAGGTACTGTGGAGGTTGAGATCTCGGGGATCTTGATTTGAAGCCAGTCCAGGAAGAACCATCTATGACACTCCATATCCAAAATGATCAGCAAAAGTCAGGGCTAGAGGCATGGCTCAAGTGGTAGAGCAATAACTAAGCAAGCAAACAAAACAAGCACAAGGCCTTGAGTTCAAACCACAGTATCAGAAGAAGAAAAAAATAGCACATGGTTATTTGACCATGCGCAACCTTCATGTTCCATATACACTTGGTATACCTGTCAGCGTCATCTATCTTTCCACTGTTTCTTTCCAGTTACCTCTACATGGAGAAACCTATGAAATACCAGTTGCCTCTGTTAGGGTTGACCCAAGATAGAGACATTCTTTGTGGAAACCCAGTGAAGTCAGAACCACATGGTTTCTTTTCACCCTGTCCTGTCCTAGTACATCTAGACACTATGGAAAAATCTCCTTTATAGCTGTTAAGTATGGAAGGTTCTCATTTCCCAGTAGTGAACACTTTAAGACAACCTAGAGTTATTGTCCTTGAGTCTTTTCTGTAGTTGTCATTCAAGTCTTATATCTTCAAAAATCTGTTTTCTCAAATATATGTTAATTTAAAAATAAAATAATTTAAAATATTTCTCCTATCAGAAGAGCCTTCAGTTTAGATAACCATAATGAGGATGAACTTTTGTTTAACGCAGAGGATGTCCAAGATACTTAACTTCTGTAAACCCACCAGAAATGGCTGGGGTAGTCAGTAAAGATTGTAGAACTTACTCTACTGGTCCTCAGGTCTGGCTCTCTAAACTATCCTCCTATTCCATATCACACCCAGCCTGTTGTGAGAATTCTAGTGAGGCCTTTGTAGGCCTCACTGTGGGTGATAGCTTTGCTTATTGATATCTTTAAATTGCTGAGCTGGAGGGGGCTGGGAAGGTGGCTCAGTGGTAGAGTGCTTGCCTTGCATGCATGAGGCCCTGGGTTCAATTCCTCAGCACCACATAAGCAGAAAAAAGCCAGAAGTGGTGCTGTGGCTCAAGTGGTAGAGTGCTAGCCTTGAGCTGAAGAGCTGAGGGACAGCACCCAGGCCCAGAGTTCAAGGCCCATCACTGGCAAAAAAAAAAAATAAATAAATTGCTGAGCTGGAGTTAAGTTTAAACTAGAGCCTTTTCAAACATTTTTCTGAAAGTCACACCTTTTTGACTGTAGTATGTGGATGCCAAAAGCTAAACAGTCATTCATGTTTTGATAATCTGAAGAAATGAGGAAGATTTAAGTGTCTGAAAGGTTGGGGCATACTGGTGGCAGCATCAGAGCTGAGAGCTCCTGTGTGCCCAGTACTGCACCCTGTTTGTCTGGTCCACCTTCACCTGTGGTATCATTTTTCCCATAGAGGCCTGCTGTTCAGCCTCAAAATTTCCTGTGAATGGGGCTGGGAAGATGGCTCGGTGGTAGAGTGCTTGCCTTGCCATGCATGAGGCCCTGGGTTTGATTCCTCAGCACTACATAAGCAAAAAGAAAAAAGCTGGAAGTGGCCCTGTGGCTCAAGTGGTAGAGCACTAGCCTTGAGCTGAAGAGCTGAGGGACAGCGCCCAGGCCCAGAGTTCAGGCCCTATAACCGGACCCCCCCCAAAAAAAAAATTTCCTGTGAGTGACAGTTGAAGTTGGTTTCATAGTCTTACCATCAAGTCAGGATTCTACATATTTAATCTACTTAGAATAAAAATAATTGCCTGAAATAACCCATGACTTAACATCTCTGTATCTTGACTTTTTAATTTTTTGATTAGTACAATACTTACTATACATTCATGAGGCATAATGTGATGTTTCAGTTCATATGTACATTATATAGTGATCTACTCAGGATGATTAGAATATATCACCTTAAGCTTTTATTGCGAGTTTTTTTTTATGTAAGATGCTTTCTTATTAAATTATTACATAATTATTTTAAAATTATTTGACAAGACAAAAAGTTATCTATAATGATAATACCTAAAGTTAAGCAACTATTAACCTTTCTGAATCTCTTGTGTATATCCAGTTGGCCTTTATATCTGCATTTTGTGTACTCATTTAACTTCATATGAAAAATCATAAAAAAATGATGTCCTTAACTCAACAACCAGCTTTTTTCTTGCTACTGTTCTTTACACAATACAATAAAACAACAATACACAAGGCAGTTACATTGTATTGGATGTTATAAATAACCTATAGAGGAAGTAGAAGAGTGGCTCGAGTGGTAGAGAGCACCAGCCTTAAGCAGAAAAGGCCAAACAAGAGTGCACAGCCCTCAGTTCAAACTCCATTACCAGCACCAAAAGATAGACAGACAGACAGACAGATAGATAACTTGAAGATGAGTTAAATGATGTGGTAAATATGCATAGAATATGCAAGTACTATGATGTTTTATATAAAGGACTTGAGCATTCAAGGACTTAGGTTTCTACAAGGATTCAGGAACCAATTCCCTGTAGATACTTAGGGATGACTACTTTTTTTTTATTTTTATTTTTTTGTCTTTTTACATTTTTACAAAAATAAGAGATCATAAGATACAATTTTTTTGCATCTTTTTTCCCACAATACTGAGGATTGAACCCAAGCCTGGCAAGTACAAGGCCACTTTTCCTCCCAGCTCTCCTTTTTTAATTTAGCTCTGTATTGCCGTGTCTTTAATTTCTACCTGAGCAGAATCCTGCTATGAGGCCAAAGGCGTAACTTTACCACATCCCTCTCCTCAGTGGGTGGACATGCTATATCTAAGTTTGTAGAACGTTATCCCCTATAGATTTACTTACAGAGACCTTCTCATTAACTGTTCCTAACTTTCATTCTTGTAATAACTGTGTTTGTTCCCATCCTCTAGCCTTTCCCTCAAGGCCATGTTCACTGGGCATTTGGTCCAGCAGTGCCTTACCTGGAGCCTAAGTGTCCGCCAGAAGTTTAGATGTGCATGCCCAGGTGTCAATATAGTCCCCTTCTCTATTACCCAATATTGGCCAACTTCATCAGGAGCCAAGAGTCCTGACACCAGCCCCTCCCTATGTAGATTAGTTATGAGACTTTTTTTTTCTTTTCCTTTTTTTTTTTTTTTTTTGCTTTCAGGGCAAGTTTCTGGCTTTTTATCAGTATGCAAAATCATTTAATTCAGATGACTTTGACTATGAAGAACTAAAGAATGGGGATTATGTCTTCATGAGGTGGAAGGTAAGGTCCTCAGCTGTCACCTGAGATCCATATGCTAGCACCTGTGGTGCACTCCCAATCCTGCCCTACTGAGGGAATATACCTTCCAACAAGGGCTCCCTGTGTCCTAGCTTGTCATGGTATGTCTTCATTGCAGGGTCATGATACACTTGTAAAAAGCAGGAGTGCCACAGCTCCAGCGCACACATGGGTGAGCTACTTGTATCCCAGCTGCTTCTCTGGTTTCACTGCTTAGTGGCTAACAGGTGCATTTCTGCCAGGTGGGCACCCATGATGCTTTAGTTTGCATCTTCTCCCCTTCCTTTCTCCCACCAAAGAGTCTCTCTGAGCTTTCAGGTTGAGTCATCCAACTGTTCTGTAGATTTTGAACTTAGTCATCATTGAACCCTATTCTCATTGGAGCTTAAATGCCATCTGAGTGACTGGTCTCTTCCACCACATCCTTTGCCCAGGGCCCTCTGCTCAGGAAATGAGGGACCGGGAATGGAATGTAGATTTTCCCCTCACCAGCCCTCAGTTCCATCTGGTGATGGGACTGGCTTTTGCTTGGGAGTCCTTTGTGTTCCTGCTCTGACAGCACTATACTTAAAGCTTCAGGATAGCAAAACCATGAAGCACACATTAAGTACCTTTGAAAACATGCACCTACTTCCAATTCCCAGTGCCAGATTTGTAGAGAAAAAGCTGTTTAATCATGAAGCCTTATGAGCTTTCATAGAACAAACCTGAAGCCCTCATTGCCATCTTTATATAGCTGATCATTTGGGGAAAGAGGCTATGACTACTTCAGTAGACAGTGCCAGGTGCAGAGAACAAAGACTGAGCCCTACCCTTCAACGGCTTGCCATCAGTAGGAAGCATGCCAACCAGACCTTTAAAGGAAGCATCTTTTCCTAACTTTTTTTGTGTCTGTGCCTATACTGGGGTTTGAACTCAGGGCTTCTCACTCTAGCTCAGCATTCTTGCTCATAGCTAGCACTTCTACTACTTGAGCCACACATCTCTAGTTTAGCATATTGCTGGTTAATTGAAGATGGTTTCTGTCTTGAGGATTTTCCTGCCCTAGCTGGCTTTGAACCATGATCCTCTAGGTCCAAGTCTCCTGAGTAGGATTATACATGTCAGCTACCAGCTTCTAACTTGTCCTAATTTAACATTTGTTTACCCGTGCTGGGGATGGAACCCAGCTTTGTGCTGTTAGGCAAGCTGTCAACCACTTAGCTAGACAACTCCCTGCCCCTCCCACCCCATCCTAAATTAGTTTCAGATAAGGTAGAATATCCTTAAAAAATTGGAGGTAGAGAAAACTGAGATGTAGCTTAGTGTTAAGAGCACACTTGTCTAACATGAGTTCTTTCACAGCATTAAAAAAAAAAACTTTTAAAGCAATGACATTTCTTGTCTAAAGAATTTCTCAGAGAAGTCAGGTGCCAGTAGCTCATGCTGGTAATCCTAGCTATTCAGGAAGCTGAGATCTGGAGGATTGCACTTTGAAGCCAGCCTGAGCAGAAAAGTCTACTAGACTCTATCTCTAAAATAACTAGCAATAAATAAATTAAATAACTAAATATCAGAACTGGAATCATGGCTCAAGTGGTAGAGTACCAGCAGAGCAAGCTGAGTGTGGGCTCCTGACTTCAAATCCTAGTACCAGCACATATACACACATAAAAGAACTTTCAGGGTGAAACTAGTGGGCTTCTGGCCAACTTAATCCCTGCTCTGACCCAGTGTCTCCAATGGAATGCAAATAAGGACATAGCCTTTCAAACCTTTGCTCATCTTTGTAACCTGCCTGGTCATGAGCGTTGCCATTCTGATTGTTTTGATGAGTTTTAAAACTGGAAGGGGATGTAACAGGGGCTCTTGGCAATCAGTCTTCTTTCAGAACAATCACACACTAACAGAAATAACTCATTGTTCTAGAGATTAAGACCCCAGAGCCCAGTGGTAGTTCCTAAGAACTGAAGCTAAAGCCTATTTTTTCCAGGCCATTCGGTCTGTGGTCTCATTGATAAGTAGACAGGTTGGCAGGTGGCTATCAGTAGATCTCGGGCCCATGATCCCTTCTCTGATTTGCTAATCCTCAGGAATGCATCTGCTACTTTAGCACATGAAATGCTCCAGTAGAACCATGGGTGCTATCCCAAAGTCAGACTGAGACCCACAATATTGCGGCAGACTACATAGTCATATTTTTATCAAGTGATCCTTAGAATCCCCTGATGCCAACCAGGAGGCCCCCTAGAGTGGTGTGTTATTGACAATCCTTCATCTGTGTGCAGGAGCAGTTCTTGGTCCCAGACCATACAATCAAAGACATCAGTGGTGCTTCCTTTGCCGGGTTCTATTACATCTGCTTTCAGAAGTCAGCAGCCTCCATAGAGGGCTACTACTATCATCGGAGTTCAGAATGGTAAGGACCTCAACAGCCAGGGCCACTACACATGCACACAACTGGAAGAGAATCTCTGGGCCTGTCTCTATAAGATTCCATGCTCAGTCTCTATTTAAATGGTTTCAACTCTCTATTTTAAAGGGTTTCAGTTTCTGTTATCCACAGAGCAAATGAAAATGAAGTATTTGGGTGAAGGAGGTAATTTCTAAATACTATTTTTTGTGTGTATGTGGTAGAACCTGGAGCCTTGTTCTATACTGAGCTACAACCATAAGCATTATTTTATTTTACTTTATTTTGTCGGTCATGGGGCTTGAACTCTGGGGCTGGGTGCTATCACTGAGCTCTTCAGCTTCAGGCAAGCACTCTACCAGCATTACTTTAGTTTCAGTAATGTCTAGTGTAATCTTCTTGGTTTTGTATTTATTCCTCACAAATTTAACAGTAACTGTAATTGATTTAATCATGTGGACAACGTAGTGTTTACGGTCAACTGCCATTTGGTCCTACATGTACTGGTTCCATCAGGTCTCAGTCTGATGGCCTAGGGGCCTTATGAATTGACTCTCCTGCTGTGCCTTCTCCAAGGTGAAGGACAAAAGTTTACATCCATGTTTGCTTGTAGCAGCTTTTGGGGGACACTTTCAACTCTTGCTGCCTGTGTTAAGCACCTAGCTCTACTTGGAGGGTGAAGCAATATAAAATCCAATTTCCCTTCTGAAGGTGGAACCCTTTGTTGGTTTTCCTTTTGTTCATTCTTTAGTGACTGTGAGTGACCCTACCCTAGATTAACTCAAATGCCTCATTTAGCATAAGACTGTCAGTAATTTTTGTTTTCAAGTGAGTTGTCATAATCCTTTTTTTTTTTTCTGGTGGTTATTAGGCTTGAACTCTGGGCCCTGGGTGCTGGTCCCTCAGCTCTTCAGCTCAAGGCTAGTGAGTGCTCTACCATTTGAGCCACAGCATCATTTCCAGTTTTCTGGTGGGTGATTGGAGGAGATAAGAGTCTCACGGACTGCTTAGGCTGGCTTTGAACTGTGATCCTCAGATCCTAGCCTCCTGAGTAGCTAGGCTTATAAGCATGAGCCACCAGCGCCCCAGCTCTTCATAATCCTTTCTGTTAAGTTTTGAGATATTATTTTCCTAAAATGCAGTTCCCTCACTTAAAGTGTAGAAGTAATGGTATTTATATATTAATAAAGTTAGGTGGGCTGGGAAGGTGGCTCAGTGGTAGAGCGCTTGCCTTGCATGCTTGAGGCCCTGGGTTCGATTCCTCAGCACCACATAAGCAAAAAAGAAAAAAGCTGGAAGTGGCGCTGTGACTCAAGTGGTAGAGCACTAGCCTTGGGCTGAATTGCTGAGGGACAGCGCCCAGGCCCAGAGTTCAGGTCCCATGACTGGACCCCCCCCCAAAAAAAAAGTTAGGTGGCTTTTGAGTTTAGAATTCTCTGTGTTTGTGTGTGTGTGTGTGTGTGTGTGTGTGTGTGTGTGTGTGTGTGTGTGCATGCCTGCATGCACGCGGATGTGCACGTGTGCATATGTGAGCATACATATGCACACATAGTGAGTAAATGCATGCTGAGGAAAGAACACAGGGCCTTGAACATAATAGGCAAGCACTCTGCCACTGATCCATACCCCCTGCTTAAAACGTTTTCACTCTCACCAGAGGAAACCCTACCTGCTTAGCTGTCATTTTCACCTCAACCCCTCCCTATCTTTTATATAAATATATAAAATCCTAAAATATTTAGCTTTGGCTCTGGAATCTTTCACTTGGTACAATATTTTGAAAGTTCATCCATGTTGTTTTATGTATCAAAACTTCATTTTTATTACCAAAGAATTCCCTATTGTATGTCTATTGCATGACAATATTTTGTCAATCCATTCACCATTTTTTTTGTGGTGGGGGGGTTGGTCATGGGGCTTGAACTCTGGGCCTGGGCACTGTCCCTCAGCTCTTAAGCTCAAGGCTAGCACTCTACCACTTGAGCCACAGTGTCACTTATGATGATTTTCTGAGTGGTTTATTGGAGATAAGAGTCTCAAGGACTTTCCTGCCTAGGCTGACTTTGAACTATAATCCTCAGATCTCAGCCTCCTAGTAGCTAGGATTACAGGCGTGAGCCACCAGCACCAGCTCTTCATTCACCATTTAAACAGCCATCTTTTGGCTGTTGTGACTTATGCTACTATTAATGTGGGTGGACAGCTTCTGAGCTCTGGCTTTCCATTCCTTTGGACATATACCTAGGATTGAAATTGCTGGGTCATACAGGAATTCTATATTTAACTTCCTGAGGAACTGCCAAAATTTCCACCGTGGCTGCTCCATTTTGCATTCTTATCAGCAACATATGAGGATTTCAGTTTCTTCAGATCCTCCCCAACACTTGTATCATGTCTTTATAATTATAGCTGCCAAGAGAGCATGAAGCAGCATCTCAGTGTAGTTTTGGTTTGTATATTCCTAGTGGTTAATGCATTTTTTTCTTTTTTTTAATTTTTATTTATTTTTTATTGTGAAAATACCGTACAGAGGGGTTACAATTACATGGGCAAGATAATGAGTACATTTCTTATCAAGCATTGTAGCCTCCTCCTTTGTTTCCCCTTCCCATCCCTTCCCATCCTCCCCCCGCATTTTTTTTCTTTTTCCTCATGCTAGACAAGCACTCTACCACTGAACTAACACCTTCAGCTTTTTATTTGATTATTTTTGGCAGTACTGGAGTTTAAACTCAGTGCTTTGTTCAGCTTGCTTGCTCTGCTAGCACTCTTACCACTTGAGCCACACCTACAGCCCTGATTGTATGTGTGTGTATACTGGTCCTGGGGCTTGAACTGAGGGTTTAGGTGCTGTCCCTAAGTTTTCGCTCAAGGCTAGCACTCTACCACTTGAGCTATAGCTCCACTTCTAGCTTTTTGGTGTTTAGTAGGAAGTAAGAGTCTCACAGACTTTGCTGTCAGGGATGACTGCAGACCTCAGTCTTCAGATCTTAGCCTCCTGAGTAGTTAAGATTACAGGCAGTGCCTGTCTCTTTCTTTTTTTAATTGGTTATGGGGAGGGGTCACTATTATATTCCCATATATGTTTACAATATATTCCAATCAATCTCACCCTCTCTATCACTGTTTGCTCCCCAAAACAATTTTAAGAGATTTCATTGTTCTTTTTTCATAGTTGCAATCTCCTTTAACCTTATTCATATTCTCTTTCTCTCTCTCTCTCTCTCTTCTCTCTCTCTCTCTCTCATACTTAGTTTGAACTCAGGCCTTATACTTGTTAGGCAGGTACTCTACCACTTGAACTGTGCTTCTAGGTCTTCATTGAGGATTTTCTAACACTCTTTGCTCAGCACCAACAAAATGACTACCTCCATCCTGTCTCTCCTCCCACTGCAGGTATCAGTCCCTCAACCTGACCCATGTTCCCGAACACAGTGCACCCATCTATGAGTTCCGGTGACAGCGGTTCAGAACAGCAGCCAAATAAAACTGACCTTGGCAACAAAGAGCTTTGCCACAAAAATTGTGTACCTGCCAGAACCAGGAGAGGTGTGTTCCTGTTTCGTCACAAGCAGACTCGCATCAGAAAGCATGAATGTTAACCCACAGAATCCAAGGAGCATGGCCGACCAGATCGGCAAGGCAGGCAGAGGGAGCTGTCGGCTCCCTTGCTCCTCCCTCTGTGGCAATGTGGTCATCATCTGTTTCTAAGCTACCTTAAACGCACTTTCCTTTCTGCACAGCTAACTTCTGCATCACTGAAATGCCGTCCTTCCTCGATCCACCTCCAGCCTAATGGAAGGTCAGCTCCCAGGTCTCCTCAGCCTTGGTGCTCAGTGGTCCCCATCCAGGCCCTGCTCCTCCCCCAGTTGCTTGTCCAGTAGCCCCAGAAAAGGCAGAGCCCCAGCACCTCTGTGCCCGAGCTCTGCGAGGAGTTGGCCAGCCCCAGCATCTGCCGCCAATGAAATGAGGCGGGACCCTGCTGGACCTCATCGGTCTTTGGTTCTGATTCCAGGGATGCTTCGTGGGGTCAGTGGCGCTGCTAAGCCCTGAACTGTAAGCAGCGTGAAGCTAACATGTGGCTGTCAGGTTCCTGGGCCTGCCTTCGGGGATCACTATATGTAAGGCTTCCAGATCCCTGGCAGGAACACATCCCAAACCTGCTTACTCAGTAAGTTTGCTCCAAACTTTTGAACAAGAGGGCAATACAAAACTTAAAAATAAGAGTTTTTTATGACAAAATTATTTTTATGGTCCCTTTAAATGAGGACCCTATGGCAAATGCACAATTATTCAGAATTACATTTTATCGTTTTCACATTGAAAACAGCAAATGTTGACTTAGTAATTTTTATATCTATATGTATATGTATATTTAATCAACCAGCAGTTTTAAAACAAGTCATCTTGGTACAGAAGTTTTGCAGCACCGCATAAATTATAGTGCTAAACACAGGAACTGTTTTGGGGGCCAGTTTAGCGTTTGTACCTCCTCCTTTTGCTACTCAAAACAGCAGTGCTTCATGGCAACCTTTTCCATGAGGCAGAAGGGGTCTTTGTTCTGAGAAATAATGACTCTGAAATGTTGGGATGAGGGGTGAACATGCTCCGATAACTAGAGGCTCATGTGCCAAAGTGTGTGTGTCTGCGTGCGTGTGTGTTTTGTTTTTGTTTTTCTAAATGTTTAAAAAAGCTAAAATGGGTTGGTATCAGTTTTAGCCCACAGAGATGGGCAAGGTTGTGGGAGTGGGAATTTGACTTTTTTTTTTTTTTGGTGGTTTACAAGGCTTAGTCCGAACATAAAAGGAAAAGCTTTAAAAAAAAAAAAAAAATCTAGCATCAGGGCTAGAGGTGTAGCTCAGTGGTAGAGTGCTTGCCTAGCATACTCAAACTCAAAACCCTGGGTTCAAGCCCCAGCACCACACACACACAAAAGGAAAAAAAAAAAAAAAGGAAGGATGATAGCATTGCAGGTTGCACATCCATGGGCCACATAGAGAAAGCCCTCCAGGAGGATGGGTGCTGGGGAATGTTTTCTATTCTTAAGTGACTTTCTTTTTAATGACATGTACTGTATGTTACTGAGACTGAATGTTAAGGGAAGCCTTAAAGGAGCAGAATTTGGGGAAGTAGCCATGAGCACTTGTGACATCCAGAATTTATAGTCCCAAGACAGCAAAGGTGCAACCCAGCCATGCTGTAAGGTCAGAGCCTAGGAATCCTAAAAAGTGCCCCAGTGACTGGTGGAAAAATAACACATCCATTCCTAGAACTGAATCAAAAAAGTCAAGCTGGTGTAGGGGTGTGGACCTGTAGTCCAGCTGCTCTGGAGGCTGAGGCAGGAGTGTTGCCTGAACCCATCTCTAAACTAACCACCAACTTCCAGCTAGATATCAGATGAGTGGCTCTGCTCAGACCCACCTTATTCACACTCATGAGATGTCAGCTAACCATTCTGTTAGGCTGGGGGATATCACTAAAGAGCAAAGGAGGCCATGGCTGTGCCAGCTTTCCTCATGCAGCATATAAACCCTCTGTGTTTGCAAAATGCCTTAGTGATGGCAGGCCTACTTGGAACAGCGTATTGAGGTTTGTGTGCATGGTTCTGCGTGGCACATCAGTGAGCTAGAAGGGACACTAACAGATGCAACAGAGACCAGGCAGGCCAGGTTCTGTCCTAGGGATTTTCACGTTTTTCCTTTCATAGCTACGTAATGAAGTGCGCAGGTGTTTGGAAAAATGAAGTGATACCTTTCCCAGACCTTCCAGACACCTCTGAAGATTTGTTGGCTTAGAAGTCTGCCCATAAGCCCCGGGGGTGAGACTGAGCACTTCTCATAGTCACTCCCGAATGATCGAAATCAACTTCTTTTTCTTTTGTCCCTGAAGGACTTGGGGAATTCTCTCCACCTGTAGATCTTTCCTAACCTCAACAGTTTACATGCCTCTGATACTATGTGCAATATTTCTGGTTGACATTTGTATCCATTATTAAGAGATTAGTGCAGATCGCAGGTTTCCTACTGTCTTCCTCCACCCCAAACAAGCCTGCCATGAGGCAGGATCCTAGGGATTTGGCTGTTGTTTCCCCACTGCTCAGAGGCTTCCACTCCACTGTCCCTAGCCGCCTCCTACCCGTCCCTTTAAAAGTTCTATAGAGTTTCAGCTGCAGTCCAAAAGTAACTAAGACAATGCCTAATTTCAAGGACAAAGTCAATCTGCTGGTTCCGTTGGCTATGTTGAAATCACAAACTCCAAGGGTGGCAAGGGGGTCTTTCAATGGTCTGCTTTCAAAAGCAGGGAATTTATATTCTCTAAGGCCTTGAATTGATTTTTTTTTCCTCACAAAATAGTCTGATAAGCTAATTTTTAAAAAAGAAATGCCATTAAGTATGTTGTATTGTGGTTTAAAATGACTAACGAGTTCTGGAAAGAAAAATATTTGATTTTGAATCTTAAATGTTCTTAAAATTAGATTTGAATGAGCGCAAAATATGAATATTTTGTTTCTTTATGGAGGACATGTGGAAAGGGTTTGAGGGTTTGGGATGGGAGAAGTATTTTGCAGAGCTATCAATGTCCAAATAATTTTTAAAAAATAATAAAGGTATTTAAGCAGTGTGTGTCCAATTTCTAAATCAGAACAGTCCTGTTAGTAGAAACCAGTTCCTTTCTGGCCCTGGAGATGCACAGTTCTGCCAGGCTGGCAAGAGACGCATATGAGCCAAAGCATTCATATGGCCACAGCCAAGGCCCTCCCTGGACTACTCTCCTTTTCATTCTGGAGGTTTCTGGCCAACCACTCTACACCTTTGTTTGATCTCCATTCTGTTCAATTATAGATCTCCTTAGGAACATGGAAGTGCTTCGTCTTTAGTCCTGTGTGTGAGATTCCCACCACTCACACAGGAAGTATGCACATTAAGCTATCATCTGCTGCCTGTCACGGCCTGCTGTCCAGACAAGTCAAATCAGGCATGCATGTGAGCTGCCTTTGCCACTGTGACCATTATCCTCTGGGAATGTGAGAGCCCCAAAGCACTGGCAGCACCCTGAAGCTGGGTGTGGATGGAAGGCCCTGGCCTTTAATTTCTGAGGTCCATGACTCCACAATTACCACCAGGTTAGGCAGCACCTAGGGATACAGCCAGAAACAGTTGAATTCTGAGGAAATGTTTTAAGTGCTGAGGAGGTTTAAATTCTAAGCTGGTTGAAATACTAAAGGAATTGACATCAATGACAGTTCACTTGTGTGTATAAAGTATCAATTCTATTATTTGAACTAATAAGCTTTTTTTTTTTCTTACTGTGAGACAGGATGTTTACCAGCATGTTCACAGCCGGGCACTGGTGGCTCATACTTGTAATCCTAGCTAATCATAAAGCTGAGATCTTAGGATTGCTGCTCAAAGCTAGCCTGAGCAGAAAAGTCCTCAAGAGACCCTTATCTCCAATTTACTACTAAAAAAAAAACAACAACAAAAAACAAAATAGCACTGTGGTTCAAAGTGGTAGAGGGCTAGCCTTGAGCAAAAGAAGCTCAGAGACAGTGCACAGGCTCTGAGTTCAAGCACCAAGACTGGCAAAAAAAGAAAAAAATAGGACTCACAACTCTGACCCACTGCGTCAGTGATGATTATGAGTCCAGGCTCGAGCTTCCAATAAATGGCACTCGTGTACTTGCACCGGAAAAAAAGAAAAAAAATAATTTATAAACACCTATATACCTTCTCCTAGAGTCAACAATCAATAGCATACTTCTAATTTACTTTCACTGCTTTTGCTAAATATTTTGAGCTCTGTGAGAATAAGATACAGACATGACTTTTCAACCTTGTTGTAGACTGTCTTTTCCCATCGCCACATTCATATGTTGAAGCCCTGCCCTGGAGTTGGAGGCCTGGAGTAGTGATTAGAGTAACATGAGTTGAAGAGGGTGCTTCTCATGATAGTTGAGTACCCCAATAAAAAGAAACACTAAAGAGCTTACTCTTTGTTCCAAGCAAGACCACATGAGGCCACAGCAAGAAAGCAACTGTCACCAGAAATGGAACATGCTGATCTTGGACTTCCAGTGTCCAGAGCTATAAGAAAATGTGTTATTTAAGCCACTGTCTCTGGTGCGGTTTTTTTTTTTTTTTGCTTGTTTTTGTTTTTGACAGTTAGGGGACTTGAACTCTGGGCCCAAGCACTGTACCTCAGCTCTTCAGCTAAGCTCAAGGCTAGCACTCTACCACTTGAGCCACAGTGCCACTTGCGGTTTTCTGGTGTTTTATTGGAGATAAGGGTTTCACAGACTTTCCTGCCCGGGCTGGCTTTGAACTATGATCCTCAGATCTCAGCCTCCTGAGTGGCTAGGATTATAGGCGTGAGCCACCAGCGCCCAGTGTCAATGGTGTTTTATAGCAGCCAGTGCAAGTCAAGACAACCTTTAAATTCTGCATGTGCATCTAATAAAGCAACTAGCAACAGTTCCCTAATATTCACTGGCCAATCCATTTAAACTTTCCCCAAATTGTCATAACTGTGTTATACTTAGGAAAAAAAAAAATCCAGGCAGTCTTTATCCCTGAATCTGGAAGAGTCCCCCTGCTTTTCTCCCCTAGTCACTAATATTTTGAGGAACCCAGTAATTTACCTTATAAAATGTCCCACTTTTCACATGTCTGTTGTTTCTTTGTGTCTAAACTCAAGAACAGTATTTTGGGGGCAAGAATTCCACCCTATCAGGATACCTGTAAGGGCAGGTAGTATGCTAAGTTGTAGCACTTACGGTGTTACCTAGCCAGGCACCAGTATCTTATGCCTGTCATCCTATTTTTTTTTTTTTTTTTTTTTGTCAGTCTTGGAGCCTGAATTCTGGGCCTGGGCGCTGTCCCTCAGCCCTTCAGCTCAAGGCTAGCACTCTACCACTTGAGCCACAACACCACCTCTGGCTTTTTCTGCTTACATAGTGCTGAGGAATCGAACCCAGGGCCTCATGAGCCACCTTCCCAACCCCTCATTCTAACTATTCTGTAGGCTGAGATCTAAGGGTCATGGTTCCAAACCAGCCGGTGCAGGTAAGTCTGTGAGGCTCTTATCTCCAATTAATCACATACACACACAAATCCTGCAGTACAGCTGTGGTTCAAGTGGTAGAACTCCATCCAGCCTTGCACTAAAGCCAGGAGATGAGGCTGGGAAGGTAGCTCAGTGGTAGAGTGCTTGCCTTGCATGCATGAGGCCCTGGGTTTGATTTCTCTGCACCACATAAACAGAAAAAGCCGGAAGTGGCTCTGTGGCTCTAGTGGTAGAACGCTTGTCTTGAAGAGCTGAGGGACAGCGCCCAGGCTCAGAGTTCAAGTCCCTTAACCGTCCAAAGGGGGAAAAAAAAAGCTAAGAGCGCCCAGACCCTGAGTTCAAGCTCTACTACCAGGGAGAACACACATACACACGCACACACACTAGATGTTACCTAGGAACATGCTTTTAACCTTCTCCAAAATGAGAGCCACCAAGTTTTCAGCTCAGCGCCTCTTCTTGGCACAGTGTAAAGCGTCTCCAGTCCAGGGTCCATCCCTAGAGAGTCCCTCTTTCTGGTCTCAGCACAGGTCCAGAAACTCAAAACCCCGCCCCGGCCTGCCTGGCCCCGGCTCCGCCCACAGGCCCCAGCCAGCCAGCCCCGCCCTGGACCCGGCGTGCGGAACAGATTGTGTGTGGCGTTGTGCTCTACGTCGCCTGTCCGGACACTGAATCCAGAGGCACCGGGCGTCCACGAGGACGCTGTTCTCCGTAGGCTTCCGGGTGCCGACAGCTCGGCCTCCGCCGTCAAACCGGAATTCCCTGTACCGCCGCCGCCGCCGCCGCTGTTGGTTTGTCAATCTCTGCAGCAGCTGCAGCCATGGGCATCTTGGAGAAGATCTCGGAGATCGAGAAGGAGATCGCTCGGACGCAGAAGAACAAGGGTGAGGCCCAGTTCGGCGGAATCTCCTTTTCTGCCTGCCTCCGTTTTTCCATCTGTAAAACGGGAGAACAGCTCCTTCGGTACTGTCCGGGGCCGCATAGAAGCACCGGAGGAGAGCCGAGGCCCTCCAGCCTGCACGAGATAGGGCCAAGCGGAAAATGGTTCCAATGCTCTCTTGGGTCCCCCTTACCCCCCAAGAGATCTGATCACTGCTATGCCAAAAAGGGGGGCGGGCCCGGGATTCCAACCTGTAGGTTTCCTAAGGGCCAGGCCTGGTGATTTTCTCTCATCTTGTGCTGAGGAGGGGAAGAGAAGACACTCTTCCCCCCCCCCCCCCCCCCACACACACACACCCTCGGAAAACCCTCACTCCAGCAGGTGGCCAGGAGCCAGCAAAGTGATGTGGAGAGAATCAGAACCCTAGAATTTGGAAGGGCTAGCTTTGAGCCCCAGGTCTGCCACAGTACTTGCTACAGGAAACTTTGGAAAGACATTTTATCTCTTGGGGCCTTGGTGTCCCCTTCTGCCAATGGGGATAATAACTCCCTGCTCGGTATCTTAGCTCCTGTTGTTTATTTAGATGACATTTGTAAAGCACTGTTACGGGGTGAGCATGTAATATTTTAAATAAATCACCCAAGCCCAGGTGCTGGTTATTCATGTCTGTAATCCTAGCTACAAACTGAGATCTGAGGTCCTGATTCAAAGCCAGACCAGGCAAACAAATCTAGACTTTTTCTTTTTTCTTTTTTTGCTAGTCTTGAGGCGTGAACTCGGCCTGGGGTGCTTTCTCTGAGCCTCTTTGTGCTCAAGGCTAGCACTCTTCCACTAGAGCCAAGCTCCACTTTCCAGCTTTCTCTGAGTGGTTTATTGGAGATAAGAGTCTTAAGGACTTTTCTGCCTGGGCTGGCTTCAAATCCGATCCTCAGATCGTAGTCTCCTGAGTAGCTAGTATTATAGGTGTAAGCCACTGGCACCAGGCCCAAGAGACTCTAATCTCCAATTAATCAACAAAAATCCAAGAGTGGAGGAGTTATGGTTCAGCTGGTGGAGCTTCAGCCTTGAGATGAAAAAGCTAAACAGGAGTGAGAGGCCCTGAGTTCAAGCCCCTGTACCAGCACACCACAAAAGAATAAAATAAAACCACCCAATATAAAATTGCATGTATGGGAGCATCAGAGCTATGCCTCAGATTGTAAGGGAAGAAAGGTCAAGAGAGACAGGAGGAAGTGGGACCCAGCCATTGCTGTAAGGGTATCTAGGCCAGGAAAGGCATGGGAATCACAGTGAGCATGCTGTGTTCCTGGGATAGTAAAAAAAAATCTAGATCAGGAGGATGTGGAGTAATGAGACCTGCAACAAGACAGTCTTGTGGGCTTCAGCTAACAGGAAGCAAGAAATGTGAGGTAGCAGGTCATAGTGTCTGCCTGTTAGCTCCATTTAGGTCTGGAGGAGGAGTCAGAGTCGTGAAGCCTCTGATTCTTTCACTCTCTAAACCTTTCCTGAACCTTTATAGTGCTAGGCATCAAGTTAAAGACAGTGAACACAGCATACCCATCCCTGCCCTCCTGGAGCTGACTTTCCTGTCCATATCCTGCCAGCTTATCATCAAATAAACCAGATAACTTCAGCCGGTAGTGGTTAGTATTGAGTCTGTTTAGGGGCATGATAGAAAAAACCACTATAAGGGTTAGGAGCTGAGACTTGAAAGAGAAGGGACAAAACCATGCAAAGATCTGGGGGCAGGGGACTGTACCTGGCAGAAGGAACCAACTAGTGCATAGGTCCCAAGGTAGGAACAAACTTGGCTTATTCAAGAGCTAAAGGTTTGGTGCTGGGTTGCAGTGATGAGAGAGAAGGGGGCTAGGCATGTAGGGCCTTAAAAGTCAACAGGAAAGATGCTGGGCTGGTGGTTGGTGGTGAAGTGTGTCAAGCAGAGAAGAGACTAGTGGGATTCCTGGGTGTTGTTGTTGTTTGTTTGTTTTGTGTTTTTTGGCCAGTCCTAGGGCTTGAACTCAGGGCCTGGGCTCTGTCCCTGAACCTCCCTGTACTCAAGGCTAGCACTCTACCACTTGAGCCACAGAGCCACTTCTGGCTTTTCTATTTATGTGATATTGAGGAATGGAACCCAGGGCTTCATGTGTGTTAGGCAAGCACTCTACCACTAAGCCACATTCCCAGCCCCAGGATTCCTGTTTTTAAAGTTCCCTGTGGCAGCTGTATGCAGCATTATTCACAAGCCCCCCAAAATAGCAGGGAGGCCACAGATGCTTTTTTGCTGGGGCTGTGGTGGGCAAGAGGCTGTAAAGATGATTCAGATCCAGTCCTTCTCCAAAGAGAAGCTTGAGGATGATCTAGGATGACAGTAAAGGACCATATGACCTGACTGATAATGCTAAGACCTTGCTTGCTGCCAGCAGCCTACCAGTTGACTTGCTAAAAACATGTCTTGAGCATTGGACTAAGGAAGCTTAGGATACAATAACCACTATGCCTCTCTTATTGAAATCAGAATGTTCTAAACACTGATAAGAGCTATAAAGACAGTAAACAGAGGTATGAGGCAGATTTTAGGCAAGGGTGGGCTTGATTGTAAATAGTAAGAGCCAGCTTATGTTGGGGGATCACTTTCTGCTAAGCAGGCTCTTAATTCTTAGCTGTCTGTCTTTATGCCTTACAGCAATCTGATCAAGTAGCTAGTACTGCCAGTAGTTGCATTTTACAGATGAAGAAGCCAATTTTTCCAAAGTAAAATAGCGAGCAATAACAGAATGGGGTTCTGACACAGGCTCTCAACTTCTGTATAACACTGTTCACACACACACACACACACACACACACACACACACACACACACACACATTGAGGCCATCTTGGACACATTGAAACTCTATCTTTTTAAAAAACTTCATCTAAGCACTTCTTGCTCATGCCTATAAGAGGCTGAGATCTGAGGATCAAGGTTCAAAGCTAGTCCAGGCAGGAAAATCCAGGAGATTCTTACCTCTAATAAACTCCTCAGAAAAAGCTAGAAGTGGTGCTGTGGTTCAAGTGGTAGCTTGCTAACCTTGAGCACAAAGGCTGAGGGACAGTGCCTAGGCCCTGAGTTCAAGCCCAATGACCAGTTAAAAAAAAAATTTAAATTTAAAATTCCTAGCTGGGTACCAGTGGCTCACACCTATAATCCTAGCTACTCAGGAGGCTGAGATCTGAGGATCTCGGTTCAAAGCCAGCCTGGGCAGGAAAGTCTGTGAGACTCTTATCTCCAATTAACCACCAGAAAACCAGAAGTGGCGTTGTGACTCAAGCAGTAGAGCGCTCGCCTTGAACTGAAGAGCTCGAGAACAATGCCCAGGCCCAGAGTTCATGCTCCACAACCAACAAACAAACAAAAAAAAAAATTAAAATTCCTAGTATATGTATATGTGTATTAAATATATATTTACATACATATTTTACTGTGTGAGCGCTGGGGACTGGTGAAATAGCCGCAGCTCTGGGTGGGATCACAGAGAGGTGGTAGCCATGATACAGACCAGGGCAGGGCAGGTAAGTCTTATGTAGCCACTCAGGTTTTCTGCCTGGCAGCATGACATCCTAGAATGATAAAGGTCTATTCAAACAAAGCAAACTGAAGCCTTCTCTTATATACTGTAGTTTATTCTTGGTGATCCCAGTACTCTCCCCCCCACCCCAGTACTGGTGTTTGAACTCAGGGCCTTGCACTTGCTAGCCAGGTACTTTACTACTTGGCTGTACCCCCATCCTTTCCAGTACATGATAGCAGTGCAGAAAATGCCATGTGTTTTGGAAGCAGGGGCAGGTACTAGGCCCAGAGGTCCTGACCCAAGTTTTCTCTCAGCGACTGCTATCTGGTTCTGATTTTCCCAGTCAGCATCTGATGGGATGCAGGGCACTCACTTCTGCCTTACTTTTGCCTTTTAGCCACCGAATACCACTTGGGCTTGCTAAAGGCAAAACTCGCCAAGTATCGGGCCCAGCTCCTGGAACCGTCCAAATCAGCCCCATCCAAAGGAGAGGGTTTTGATGTCATGAAGTCTGGAGACGCCCGAGTGGCCCTGATTGGCTTTCCCTCTGTGGGTAAGGTTAGTGACGGTCTGTGGATTTGGGGAGGAAGGCAGGAGAACATCTTCCAGACAGATGGCCATCTCCTCCCTCCCTTTCCTGGTAGTCTCAGGCACTTCCAAGGCCAGGGCCTGGTCTCTCCATCTCCATTCCTTCCCCCCTCGAGCCTAACCTGGAGAGTATTTTGCCTCTCATTAGCAAGAGAAGCTGTGCTCAGCCTCCTGACTCAGCCACGGGCACAAGACATTTATTGTGCACCTTGTATCCAGGCAATATGGCAGGTACTGGAAACATGGCAGGGAACAAGAGTTCTGTTCTGTTCCATTTTGCCCACACAGAGCTCCTCTTCTCTAGGGAAAAGAACAGAAAGCAAATACAGTTGGGGACCTATCAAGTGATGAGCCAGAGCTACCCAGAGAAGGCAGTGGTCTAACCCTTGAGAGGTGTGGCAGGGCCTGGGAGGAATTCTGTAGTCCATAGTTATTTGAGCAGAAGCCCAAAGAAAGTGAGGGAACTTATAGAGCCATGAGCAAGAATATTCCAGACCAGAGGAATAGTGAGTACAGAGACCCTTTGGGGGAGTCTTCCTGGGATGCTAAGGGAAGCAGGGCAGCTGGGTCTGAGTGAATATTGAGGACAGCAGAGCAGAAGAAAGTAAAAAAGAATGGAGGCCTTCTGAGCCCTCAAATGAACTTTCGCTTGGAGTGAAAAGTGACATGAAAACAGTTGCAGTTCAATATTTGTGTAAAATCCATATTGACTTACATTTATGTATAAAGATTAAGCATCATGACAGGGTTTTGAGCAGAAAAGAAACATGATCTGAATTACTCTTTTAAAAATTGTTATTATAAAGTGATGTACAAAGGGTTACAAGTTACATGTCAGGTAAAAAGTACATTTTGTTTTAGACAATGTCACTCTTTCCCTTGCCTGAATTACTTTTAAATAAGTTTTTAATTTTAGAATAAAGTTGGGACTTAAAGAAAAATTGCAGCTGGGCACCTGTGGCTCACGCCTATAATTCTACTTCAGGAGGCTGAGATCTGAGGATCACAGTTCGAAACCAGTCGAGGCAGGAAAGTCCGTGAGACTCTTATCGCCAGTAAACCACTCAGAAAAGGCTGGAAGTGGCACTGTGGCTTAAGTGGTAGATCACTAACCTTGAGCACAAAGAGGCTAAAGGACAGTGACCAGGCTCAGAGTTCAAGCCCCAGGACCAGCAAAAAATAAGTTGCAAAGGTAGCTAGAAAGCTCCCATCGACCTTACATTCCATTTCCATGTTGTTAACATCATGTGTGTGAGTACAGCACATTTGTCACAGCTTAGGGCGAGTGGTACTGTTGTCCACCCAAGTTCATACTTGAATTTCTCCCTACTGAGATCCCACATTGCAGTCAATTTACCGTCTCCCTAATTCTAGGCAGTTTTTAAAACATGCCTTGTTCGTTTTTGTTTCTATGATATTGGGAATGGAACCCAGGTCCTTATAAATGCCAGACAGGTACTCTATCACCAAGCCACATCCCCAGCCCAACATGTCTTGGTTTGATGACCTTGACACCTTTGAGGAGAGCTGAGCAGATGTTTTGTAGAAAGTCCCTCACCTTGGGTTTGCCTGATGTTTTTCTCTGTGTCAGCTAGGGTTCTGGTTTAGTGAAGAAGCTCACAGAGACCCAGTGTTATTATATTACCTTGTGAATTACACTGTGGACATTGACTTGACCACCTGGCCCAGGTTGGGGTGGAGGGATGGTAAGTTCCTTCATAAGTCCTCTATTTGCCTCTCTTTAACCACACTGAGCCTTTGAGGGAAGGCACTGTGAGCAGCCCATACCTTCCTGGGCAAGGAGAGTTACACAAATTATTTGGAAATCTCCTGCATGGGAAGAGTTCTCGTCTCGATTTATTTGGGATTTATTATTTGTTTTGGGTGCTGGGGTGGCAGGGCTTTGCCTCTACCAAGCATGTGCTCTACCACTGAGCCACGCTCCAACCCCAGATTTTGTTTGGTCCCAATATTTATTAATCAGTGTGGACTGGTAGGTGTTTGTTTTGCTTTGGAATCTTGGCCCATGTTCTTTTTTTTTTTTTTTAATCTGGTCTTGGGGCTTGAACTCAGGGCCTGTGCATTGTCCCTGCTCAAGGATAGTGCTGTATCTATCATTTGAGCCACAGTTCCACTTTTGGCTCTTTCTGTTTATTGGAGATAAGAGTCTCACGGACTTTTCTGCCCATGCTGGCTTTTGACCATGATCCTCCCATGTCAGCCTCCTAGGTGGTAGGAGCCACTGGTGCTCAGCCCCATGTTTTTTTGTTGCTCAGGTTGTTCTGACTTCAGAGCTATTTCACTAGTGGCTTGGACAGACACCTGTCTTTGTTTTTCTAGTAGAACTCAATTTCTGAAACCATAAGACACTAAGACTCATGTTATCTCATGGTTGCCCTCGTCTGGGATCTGCCATTTCCCCAAGGAACCCTGATTCCTGTTTTGAAGAATGGTGTTAGGAATTAAGATCTGAGTGCTGACTTACTTTTAACAGAATCAGTGTTTGTGCAGATAATGGGTCAGAGAAGAAAAGGGTAGACCTGTAGAGGCCAGTCAGGAAGCTACCTAAAGGAAGGCTACATGAGTCGTGCTCGGGCCTACAGCAAGGGCAGTATAGAGCCACCTTCTGAGTCCACTCACTTAAGCAGATGATCATGGATGGCAAGAGTATTTCTTGAGTGCTTGCGCAGACTGGGCAGTATTTTGTGTGCTGTGTTTCACCCTTTGTGTACTTGGTGTGTCAGAAAGCCATTGATAGAAATTACCAAGGACTGTGCCTCCTGGGGTCTGATCCCACCTGCCCTGTTGGGAATATGAACTCACCTCTCATGAAAGTGGCCAGCTTGTCACCCCTGGGTCAGACAGGTCAGGGTGTCCTCAAGGTTGGGTTCCCAGAGCATTTGCTGGGTGCCCTGGTAACCATCAGTCTCAGGCCCATTGCCTCCATCCCCATGCATGATCCCTCACCTCTCCCCAAGGGCTGCAGTGAACTCTGGGTTCTGGTTTCATTAGTATCTGAGAGCATTTTGTGGGATCAGGGGAAGGCTTCTACTTCATGTGTGGAGCACCTTAGAAACGGGTTCCCAGCTTACTGGAGACAAGCCTGAGGATTTGGAAGAACATAGCCTTGGTGTGAATCCAGAGACAGCCCTCCTGGCCCCAAATCCATGGCAAAAAAGGCTCTTTCTGCTACCCAGCAACCCCCAGCCCTGCACAGTCTCCCAGGAGCCTGGAAAGAGACTCCTCAGTGCTGTGACCTTCTTCTTCTCTTAGTCCACCTTCTTGAGTCTGATGACCTCCACAACCAGTGAAGCCGCATCCTATGAGTTCACTACCCTGACGTGTATCCCTGGAGTCATTGAAGTAAGTGGGGAATGATGGACTCCCAATGAAGAGAAGTGTGCTGTGTTGCTCTTGAATGTGTGAGGGTGGGTGGCCTGGCATGGGGTAAGCTGGTTGCTTTACCCTGGCACCTGTCCTCCCCCCCCCCCCCCCCCACAAAAGCCTCAGGGCCCTTAGCTGTGCTTGCTGTGGGCAATTGGTGCTGTGGCTGCATTTCCATGGTGATCTAGTGTGTTTGTAAGGGGCTGCTTCTATTAACAAGTGATATAGAAGATCCAGAGACCCTCCCAGAAAGCTCCAGCTCCTAGGCTGTGATTGGTGCCAGGCTGAGATGGTGAAAGGACTCCGACTTGTCCACAGTTGGCACCTGTGTTTCCCATATCCTTAGCTGCAGTTTTGTTGTAAGTATCCTGAGCCTTCGTGGGCCCTTGGCCTTACCTCACCCTTCTCTTCTGTTCGCCAGTACAAAGGTGCCAATATCCAGCTTCTGGACCTTCCTGGAATCATTGAAGGCGCAGCACAAGGTGAGAGCCAGACAGGCGGGTGGGGGTCAGGATGGAGCTCTGTCACTGAGTATAGCTGACGTGGAGATGACCAAAGATCACTGGTTCTGTTCTAGAAAGAACAGGCTCAAGTTCAAATGCTGGAGCCATATTAGCTGTGTGCTTGTCTCTCTAAGCCGGGCCTTAGTCTTCTTACTTCCAAAATGTGCAGGATAATGTTGAATTCTCAGCAGTGTTGAGGATTAAAGGAAGAAATGTATACAAAGCATCTTAGCCTGGGCCTGCTGCAAGGTAGGGGCAGAGAGGATAGCTATTATTACCCTATCATCCCACTTAAGGTTGCAACTTCTAAAATCAGCTTTAGCTGGGTATGGGTGGTGCCAATAATCCAGAGTGCTCGATGCCAATAATCCCAGCACGCTGGAGACTGAAGGAGAAAAATCACTGGTTTGAGGCTATCCTGAGACCTTAACTCAAAAAAAAAAAAAACAGTCTCCATGAGTAAAACAGCCATGGGTTAATGAAGAAGGTCAAGGAAATGATGGCATGTAGTAGAGACCATGGTGGGTCTGTAAAGACAGGAGTCTAGGGTGTCAGAGGCTAGGTGGAAGTCACAGGTCCTTCCTGTTTATGTGGGTGTGCCTCGTCAGGGTGTAACCACTTCCTTCTACCCATCCAGGAAAAGGCCGTGGCCGGCAGGTGATCGCTGTGGCACGCACAGCTGATGTTGTCATCATGATGCTGGATGCCACCAAGGGAGAGGTGCAGAGGTCCGCGTGGTGGGGCGGGAAGGCAGGCTCACATGTCTGGGATGGGCCATGTGTCTGAGATCATGGTGAGCCCTCCAGGGGTGCCTGGCACTGTCATTGTTGGAGTTCTCACAGGGCTGTCTGTGACCAGCACTACCTGGCCTGTAACATGCCCCTCACTAAGCTGTGTTCAGGCATCTTGGGCTTCTGCTACAGAGATCTGAATGCCCAAATACTGTCCAGAATCTACCAGAAGTCTAGCCCCATGTAGGGGCATAGCAGCTGCCTGTATAGCAGCAGGCCCATAGGAGTTTTGGGGGCAGGGATAGTATTCTCTGTCCCTGGGCAACTCATTGGGCTCGTACTACTCACTTATGCACACCAGCTATTGTAAATTGGACAGGCCTGGCCTCCCCTTGGCCATGACAAAGAGTTTGAAGCTCCCAACAATTCTCAGGGGTTGGGTTACTAGGGAGAAGGCTAGAGAATTGGTCTCGAGGTAGTGGGAACTGCCAGGATCACTAAGATGCTATTCAGGGCAGCTGGTGAGGCTCGTGGATATCTCCTAGGTCTCTGTTAGAGAAGGAGCTGGAGTCGGTGGGCATCCGCCTCAACAAGCACAAGCCCAACATCTACTTCAAGGTATAGCCCTCCCACCAGGCGGGTTGGTGTGGCATAGCCCCTGTAGAGGTGGCGCTGCCATCTCTTTGTCCCTTGATCAATAACCCTCCCTACTCTCTTTGCCTGTTCCAGCCCAAGAAAGGTGGTGGCATCTCCTTTAACTCGACGGTCACGTTGACCCAGTGCTCAGAGAAGCTGGTACAGCTCATCCTGCATGAGTACAGTATCCTTCAGAGGAGGGCTAAGCAGAGGAGACGTCAAGCTGTCCCAGGAAATCTCCAGCTGGTAGCCACACAAGCCTGCTGGGTTTCAAGTGTGAGCCACCAACTTGACAAGCATGGCTTCCTACTATCTTACTGAGTCCTGGATGCTGTCAGATGACATCTAGAAGAAAGGCAAGATGTCATGGGAAAGGATCATGAAGCCTGGGGGTTCCTGACCTAGAGAAGCTTGAGGGATCTGTGTATAGCTAATGGCCTAGAGGATAGGCTGAGGCCTCAGAGACGGAGGGGACCTATTAAGTCAGTCCTGACGGGGCAGGAGAGGCCACTCAGCAGGATGGGAGCCCCTGGTTTCAGAAATGCATGAACTGGCAGACAGTCCCCAAGGACAGGCGGGAGTGGCACAGGCCATGGCACACCATTCATGTGCACCTGGACTTGCACATTTTTAAACTTTACCTTGACTTGAATTCAGGGCCTAGGTGCTGTCCTTTAGCTTTTAAGTTCAAAGCTGGTGCTCTACCACTTGAACCACAGCTCTACTTCTGGCTTTTTGGTGACTAGTTGGAGATACAAGTCTCGTAGACATTCCCTTTCTGGGCTGGCTTTGAACCTCAATCCTCAGATCTTAGACTCTTGAATAGTTAAGATGACAGGTCTGAGCTGCTGGCACAAGGCTTTGAGATTTGTTGATTTGTTGATGAGAACCTATTGTGGATTAGCGTTGTGGGGATGAGAAGGCTCCTCAAGCTTTGCAATCAGGTAAAACATTTGACCAGCATGTTTGCTGCTCTACTCTCTTCTGAAAAGCGCACAGAGTACTGGTACACAGGTCGTCCTTAATCTGAGCCCCTCAGAGATCTTCAATGCGGAAGTGCTCTTCCGAGAAGACTGCTCTCCAGATGAGTTCATCGATGTGATAGTGGGCAACCGGGTGTACATGCCCTGTCTGTATGTAAGTGGCACGCTTCTGGGGCCCATGTGGGAGGGTATCCTGGAGGAGGCCACATGGCCTTTGCTCTGAATGCATCTCCTGAGCTCCAATGATGGACATGGCTGCCCTTGCTGCTTCCCTCTCAGCAGGCTTCTGAGAAGAGCAGAGTCAGGGGTCTGCATCCTCTGCATGACATGGTCAGCTTGAAATGAGGGTTTGATCCATTCTTTCCTCCTGGGGAGGCTGGCTGCCATCAGCCACTTCTGTCTTGCCAGTCTTGAGGCAGTGTGGGGGCCAGTGTGGGGAAGTATGTAAGTGAGTTCAAACCACAGCCATGGTTTGAAACCTCATCCTGAACTGCTCTGCTCTTCCCTACCACTCACCTCCACCTGTTCACTTCTCAGGTATATAACAAGATTGACCAGATCTCCATGGAAGAAGTGGACCGCCTGGCCCGGAAACCCAACAGTGTAGTGATCAGGTGAGATGCTGGTGCTTTGCTGCTCTTCTGTCTCATGTTCAGGCCTCCTAGCCGCCTCAGCTTAGGAGCCAGGCAACTCCAGCTGCAAATAAGTTTATGAAGCCTAAGAACTATGCAAGAAGCCCACCCAACCCCTGGCAACAACTGGTGATACTGGCCTGTATGGTGGCCTCTGGACATAAACAAAAACAACAACAACAAAAAAAAAAAACCAAAAAAACATATTTCAGCTCCAAGGCTGAGGTTCAGAGGCTTCTTAGCCTAGTAATGAACTGCAGGCCCCAGAAAGTCTTGGGTATGATGGCCTCTGCTGGTTCTTGGAAGGCCTGGCTTTTGTCTGATCACAGTTCCAAGGAAAAGGGAACAAAGCTTTTAGATGGAAAAGATTTATCCCTGGCCACCTGGAACCCTTCCTCAAACAGGAACCACATTGCTGTTTCCTGCTCAAACTAAGTTCTTTGGTGATTTCCCAGTGGGACCAGGATGCCCAGGGACCAAGTGGGGGTAACAATTGAAATGATGGATGAAGACTGTTGTTGAAGCATTGTGGCCACTTAGAAGAGTAGTGTCTGTCCCTCAGAGAAGACTCAGTCCTCTCCTCCCTGTACCCCAGGCTCCTCAGCTACCTGGGACACACTCATCCTCGAGGCATGAGAGCGTGGACACCTTTATCTGCTCATGCTCACCATGGCTTTTGGGGTTACACTGTTTCAAGCAATCACTTTGGGCTACCTAGTCCTGGTTACCCCCAGTACCCAAGCTGCTCCTGCATGCCGAAATCCCTGATGGCTACCCTGTGCCTTGGCAGCCCCTCTCCTCGCAGAGAGGGTTGAGTTTTCCATGTTCCTGGCTTCTGCCCACAGTCCTGTCACAGTTCAGCCAGTCACCCCACAGCAGTCCCGTGTGGGTCACAGGTACTATGGACCTATACATAGCATAGACTGAGCTATTGGGGTTTTTAGGTTTGTTTGTTTGTTTGTTTGTTTGTTTTGACAGCCCTGGGATTTGAACTCAGCCAGGGCTCTGTCTCTGAGCTTTTTTTGCTCAAAGATAGCATTGAGCCACAGATGCACTTCTGGCTTTTTCTGAATAGTTTATTGGAGATAAGGGTTTCATGGACTTTCCTGTTCAAGCTGATTTTGAACCATGATCCTCAGATCTCAGCCTCCTGAGTAGCTAGGATTATAGATGTGAACCACCGCCACCTGGCCAGACTGAGCTGTTGGGCATGAGCACTGGATGAGTGAAGGGAGTTATGGGTGGCTGAAGCATCAGCTGCTTCAAGATGACAGGCTTATCTCCCTGCCTTGTGCTAGCAGGGCTACACTGGCCTTGGTACCATGCCTGGCCAGGGAGGTAGGGGGGGTAAAAAATGGAAATCATGGCCTTTGAGCCCTAGGGTCTTGTGGTACCTCTCCACAGCTGCGGCATGAAGCTGAACCTAGACTACCTGCTGGAGATGCTCTGGGAGTACTTGGCCCTGACCTGCATCTATACCAAGAAGAGAGGACGTGAGTCTGTGCTCATCTCAAGAAAAAAACAGTCTCCCCAGCCAGCATGAAGCTAGCTCCCAGAGATCTAGTTTGTCTGCACCTGGGTATTGTCCTCTGCCCCAGGCTGAAAGACACCTTGGCATGAAACCATGTGCAGAAAATCTTGAGTTAAGGGATGTCTGTCTTGAGGCTTTTCCACACTGGCCCCTCCCTATCCAGTGGCAGCCCCATTACTACACCCCCTCCCACCCCTGCACTCCCCTCTCCCTCCTGGTCAGGAGCTTTAGGCACTTTCCACATCCCTGTCCCTTGGTACACACACTCACATACCCCAGGCACCCAGTGTCCCAAGTTCCAAGCTATTTATTTATTTATTTAATTTATTTTTTTGGGTCTGGTCATGGGGCCTGAACTCTGGGCCTGGGTGCTGTCCCTCAGCTCTTCAGCTCAAGGCTAGCGCTCTACCACTTGAGCCACAGGCCCACTTCCACCTTTTTTCTTTTTCTTTTTTTTTTTTTGCTTATGTGGTACTGAGGAACCAAACCCAAGGCCTCATGCATACAAGGCAAGCCCTCTACCGCTGAACCACCTTCCCAGTCCCCCATTCCAAACAATTTAGGTCAGCCTTGACAAAGGGTTGGCAGAGGCGAGAATACACATCTCTCCTGCCCAGACTTCAGCAGCTGCTTGTTTTTTATCTGTTCAGTCAGGATGCTCTAAATGGTTTGTCTTGTGAATCCTAACTTAGACTGATTCATCGATTTTCTTTCTCTTGGTTTTTTTTTTTTTTTTTTTTGTCAGTTGTAGGTTTTGAACTCTGGGCCTGGGCACTGTCTCTCAGCTCTTCAGCTCAAGGCTAGCCTAACATTTGAGCCACAGCACCACTTCTGGCTTTTTCTACTTAGTGGTGCCAAGGAATCGAACCTAGGGCCTCATGCATGCAAGACAAGCACTCTACCACTGAGACACATTCCCAGCCCTTCTTTTTCTTTTTGCTAGTCCTGGGGCTTGAACTCAGGGCCTGGCCACTGTCCCTGAGCTTCTTTTTTTTTTTTTGGGTCCGGTCATGGGGCCTGAACTCTGGGCCTGGGCACTGTCCCTCAGCTCTTCAGCTCAAGGCTAGCACTCTACCACTTGAGCCACAGCGCCACTTCCGGCTTTTTTCTTTTTGCTTATGTGGTGCTGAGGAATCAAGCCCAGGGCCTCTGTCATGCAACGCAAGCGCTCTACCACTGAGCCACCTTCCCAGCCCCTCCCTGAGCTTCTTTTACTCAAGGCTAGCACTCTACCACTTGAGCCACAGCACCACTTCCAGCTTTTTCTGTGTATGTGGTACTAAGGAATCAAACCCAGGGCTTCATTCATGCAAACCAAGCATTCTACCACTTAAGGCCTGGGTGTTGTCCCTGAGTTGTTTTGCCCAAAGCTAGCACTCTATTCCTTTGAGCCATAGCTCACTTCTAAGTTTCTAGTAGTTAATTGGAGAGAAGAGTCTCATGGTCTTTCCTGCCCAGGCTGGTTTTGAACCATGATCCTCAGATCTCAGCCTCAGGTAGCTAGGATTATAGTACCTGGCAATTGACTGATTTTCTATGTTAAGGTCAAGGTTGCAGAAGACAGAACCAAGGGTATGCTGGATAGCCAGGGGCAACGTTAGGCCCAGGCATGGGGCTCTGCAGCTAGCACTTCCCCTTTGGATATGAATCTCAAACATCATAGCCTAGGACTGGCTCATGCTCCCCCATCTCTCCCAACAGAAAGGCCAGACTTCACAGATGCCATCATTCTCCGGAAAGGGGCCTCTGTGGAACACGTGGTAAGTGGAGACTTGTCCAGACTGGGGCTCTAGGAGCTCTGCAGGCTCCATTCTGCCTAGGACACTCCTAGCTGGGCTGGAGTGGGCTCCCTCACCTCATTCTCGGACGCTGAGGCGGGCTGTGAAGCTAGATTAGTTAGGCCAGGGTTAAGGTTATACCACGTCTTCCTAGCTGCATGTAGAGTCTCCATCCTTTGCTGGGCAGTTAGGGTCATTGAATGATGACAAACATGTACAGTTCTCAGCTCACCTCTTGACAGTGGCTAGGCAACAGGGAGTTTGGTCTTGTCACCAGTTCCCAGTCTGCTGTGCCCTGGTCATGGGGTCATGGACCATTCTGGTGTTCATCCAGTAGAGCTTGCTGTTTGATATTAGTTAAGTTTCTGCAACAGTGCTGGAGCTGAGATTTTGAGAGGTACTTGCCCCCATTCTGCCTTCTATCTTTTGCAGAGTTGACTAGGACTGAGAATTGCTACCTCCTATAGAGGGAGGAGCAAGGTTGCACAGTCTGCTCCCTGCTACCTTTACAATACTGTCATTACCATGGCAACCAAGGGTCCACATTGTGTGGCAATTGCTGACTGCCTCCTCCAGAGTTTCATTCCATCTTCCAGGCTGTGCTTTTTCCCCATCCAGATGCACTGAGGGGAAAAGAGGTGGGATGTGAGGGGGGCTTAGTCCACAGCTGGAGCCAGAGAGTGAGAGACTCCAGGCTGAGGTAGATGTCTTGAAAAACCACCCTGGCCCATCCAGGAGGAATATGTGTCAGGTTTTTTGGGCAAATCAGGTAGAAAATAGCTAACTGTAGAACGTTCTGACAGAGTGCCACAGCTCTTGAGTACCTGGGAGTGGGAATGTATGAAGCACTTACACAGGGGAAAAGGCACGTGGCAGTCCTCGACTTGCAGCCTGGGTTATCAGAGCACCTGTGGGAAGGCAGCTGACTGGCTCCAGCCCCAGGCTTGGGCTGGGTTGTGCCAGGCCTCATCTCTCTGTCTGCTCTCCTCTCCACAGTGCCATCGCATCCACCGATCACTTGCCAGCCAGTTCAAGTATGCCTTGGTGTGGGTGAGTTCAGATGGGCCAGATGGACAGCTAACCCAACAGTCCCGGCTTAGGCTCAGAGCTAGGTGTTCTCAAGCCTTTGTACAACTTCCCTGCTCTTTTATACGGGGACTCTGTGTATCTTCTTGGTGCATGTGCATGCATGAATGTTTGTATTTGTATGTGTGTGCTGACCCAAGCTGGATTCAAGACTCCATACCTTCAAGAGCATGGAGGGAACACCCTGTTGTCTGCCCCTCCCCCAAGCTAGCAGTACGGGACCCCAATTTGACCCTGACCCCCAGCATAGGCCCAGTTCACCTCCTCCAGCCTTGGCGTGTTCAAGGCTAACGTGCCCATCTACCTCACCCTTGCCCAGGGCACCAGCACCAAGTACAGTCCACAACGTGTGGGCCTGACCCACACCATGGAGCATGAAGATGTCATCCAGATTGTGAAGAAGTAGCAGCCCTACCCACCAGCCTCCTGCCTGCCCACCAGCCAGCCTAGCTTCTGATGGACCCACAGGGACACACCAAACCCGAACAGGAAAAATACAAATGCCCAGGAAGGAGACTCTCAAGCCCACTGTTTCCAGAAGCCTCTTTAGTAGGCAGCTGATGCAGTGTTGGGGCTGAGGGGTGACCACTGGGCACTTGACTCTGTTGGGACATTTCCCACGAGCCTAATCCCCCTATGAAGTCCATAGGTGGGAGCCCACAGCCTGTATCCCTCACCAACATCCGTTGAATAGGGGGAACAAGTTAATCACCCACTCCCATCCAGGACCTAGAGCCAGTGGGCAGGCTCAGTGGCAGGGTGAGGAGCCTGGCTTGTCCAGGCTCCCAAGCTTCTGGCTATTGTTGGGGCACCTTGTTCCTTCAACTTCTCTGTACTGGGGAGAAGAGGTCCTAGGACAAAACCCCACAGGTCCTTCCCACCTGGGCTGCCCCATGGTGGAAATCAGAGCACAGCCAAGTGTCCTAAAGTGCCTCTCCCCTCAGACCCTCCTAGGGCAGCCGCTGCCCTGCATAAACCAGGACCTTCGCCCTGCCCTCCCACTAGGGGCATCTTTACCAGATACGGATGTTTGAGTTTGGACTGTTTCCTAGACCCCCTAATCCCTGCTCTCTTTTTGAAATAAAATCAATTCCTGTTGGACTGAGGGACCTTTTTTTTTAAATATCTATTGAGATTAAGTGATTACATAAATTTTACAGTATTGTGAGATAGTGATACTTAGCTAAAGTCACAAAAACATTTTAACCTTCACAAGGCGAATTGTCATTATCATGGTCTATAAAGCTTATGAACTCTACAAACTTTGATATTACAACTATTTCTTCCAAATCAAATGATAGGTACATTTCTTTCTTTTGCTTAGTATAAGCTGCTCCCTCTCTCTCTCATTCCCTCCTTCCCATCACTGATGGGCCGAACTGAGGGAACTTTCATAAATTTCCTAGACTGTCACCAGGGATGAGTTCAGCAATGAACCTCACAGGAAGTGAGGAAGTCTAGGAGCTCAGGTGAGGGGGTCAGACCTAAGACTCTGTGGCAAAAAGGAGGCTGGGGTCTTCTGTGGCACAGGCACAGGACAGGCCTAGGAAGGTTAGCAGTGACTGTGGGTACCCACATGGCCCCTCCCAAGGCCAGGCCCAGCCACTAGGGTAGGTGGCCCCTCCAGAGTGGCTGGAGGCTCTTCTGTGAGTGCAAAGTGGCCGGTGTATTTCCTGAGGCTCAGGCCTCCATGGAAAGGTCAAAGATGCTGGCTTTGAGCCCTGACCAGCAGGGAAAGCTTCTTTGGGGAGATGTACCTTTGAGGTGGACAGCAGAGGATCTGTGCTACTATTGCAGCCCAGCTCTTCAGGTTCCTTGTGCCTTTCCAGAGACAAAACAGGAATAATAGCCATCATTAATTATGCATGGGGCCCCAGGCGGTCAGCGTGGTGGGCTGGGCCTCCCTCCCACCTCAGTGCTTTTCTCCATGGCCAGCTGCACTGGGGCCAGACTCAGGACCCCCATTAGGCGGCATGCAGGTGGGGAGCAAGCCACTAGACCCAGGTAAGGGGATCTTGGGTCCTTGGGGGGAAAGGGTCTGTCACCGGTCCCCGAGTGGCGGAGAAGGGGGCTACAGCAGAGCCAGAGCCTTGGCTTTACTGCCCATGAATCCTCATTCAGAACTCACTGTGTTCCTCTACAAAATGGGCATAATGCCATGCTGTCCCCTTGGCAGCACAGGAAGCCAAGCCAAGGTTTTGTTTGCCTTGGCTCCTTTCCTGACATCTTGTGGCCTGGCCGAAGGGAGGGTATTAGCCTGCGTGACAATTATCCACTCTGCATATTCTAGGTAGGACCTTGCTCCAGGGAGAACCAGAAGGCATGGAGCTCTAGTTGTGGGGTCTAGGGTTGTTCTGTCCCCATACCCTACTGACTAGGAAAGATGGGAGGCCTGGGGACCTCAGGCCGAGCTCAGATCCCAGGCTCTAGCCATGTGTTCTGTGAGCTGGCTTGTCTCCTGGGGTGCCACTGTGTAGCTTGGGGACAGCTCCCTGTGTCCTGTTCTGTCAACATCTGGTCAAATCTGGGGCCATATATCTAAGCCTGTATGTAAGAGGGGATTGCAATTGCACACTTAGGTTAGTGTGAAATGTCAGCTAACCATAACCCTTGGCTGGGGAAGCCCCTTAGATCCCCACAGTCTCTGAACTTGTGCCAGGGTGTAGCTTAGGACTTTGTTCCTGCCTGTCACTTTGTTCCCTCTACTGTGGCCACCACTGGAGGGAACCCTGCAGGCTCCCTCAGACCTGTTTCTAAGCAACAGGGCTGTAGCTAGTCCCAGACTCACACCTGGGACTGCAGCTATACAAAGACTCAGGTGCATAGGCTGGGGGCAGGTAAGTGCTAGTGCTCTTGCCTAATAAGCCTAAGGCCCGAGTTCAAATCCCAGTAGAGGAGAAAAAGAGAAAAACCTACAGATGAGCCACAAGAAACAAACATCCACCTATATAGTCTGTGTCCCTTCATTCTCTAGTTCCCTCCTCTCTCAGAGTCCAGGGTTCCTCTCTTGAGAACCTTCCTTTGGTAAGAGCCCCATGTCTTCCTGAAGAACTGAGTGTCCTCAGGCTTTCCTGGAGCCCCCTGCCTACTCTTCCCTCCTTTGCTCTGCCCCAGTCATGGAGGGAGCCTTGAACCCCACGGCTCTTCTCTCTCCCATACCTGGATGAGTTCATCTGGTTTGTCAGCTGGTCTGTTATGATCATCCAGGCTGCCATGACAGAACACCAGACTAGGTGGCTTGAACAAAGGTTTTCCTCACAGTGCTGGACACCGCAAGGCCCATTTCACTATGTGAACAGATCTGTCTCCAAAGGCTACCCTCACTCTTGGCTTCAGACAGCAACTTCCTGCTATGTCTTCTGTGGCTTTTCTCTGTGCACCTCCCTATCCCCCACAGGCAGAGAGCCCAAGACATCCCTCTGATACCTGCCTTTCTTGGTTTAGCTTCCCAGATCCCCCAACCCCAAGTTTTCTCACCTATCCAGACAGCCCTCTCCAATCTACCACTGAATGGGCTTCTCTGTTAAACAGCCTTCACTTGGAAGCCACGTTTTCTTTTTTTTTTTTTTTTTTTTTTTTTGGGAGGGGGGTCCAGGCGTGGGGCCTGAACTCTGGGCCTGGGTGCTGTCCCTCAGCTCTTCAGCTCAGGACTAGCGCTCTACCACTTGAGCCACAGCACCACTTCTGGCTTTTTTTCTTTTTGCTTATGTGGTGCTGAGGAATCGAACCCAGGGCCTCATGCATGCAAGGCAAGCGCTCTACCACTGAGCCACCTTCCCAGCCCGGAAGCCACGTTTTCTTGGCCTTATCAGAGGTGGCTGGCTGAGACTCCTCTTCTCTCCCTGCTTCTTCCCTTTCTCTTTGTTCCTCTCCTCCCCCTCTTCCTCTTTTCTTCCCCTTCTCCTGCCTCCCACCCAGGAATAGAGCCAGGACAGTCTCCTGCTCACTCTGTCCCTCTCCTAGGTAGTCCTCTACCACCTGCCTCCATCCTGTCTGACCTGAACATCTTCACTCCAAGTTCCAGGCCTGGGAATAAATGCCTCCTTAGCCATGCCATGTTCTTACACTGTACCAGGGTGTGAGGAGGTCATGGGGTAGAGTGGAACCAGCCATAGTCTATCCACAGGTCACCCAGTGCCCCATACTGCAAGCTAAGAACTACATGCTCAGGAAGAGCCATGAGGGTCAAATCATGATGCAGACAGTTAGCACCACCCACCTAGGAGCACAAGGAAGGGTTCCCCTAAGAGGGTGACCCTGAGCTGAAATCTGATCACATAGAAGAAACAAGAGCATTCCATAAAAATGAATAGCATGTGCAAAGTCCAGGAAAGCCTATGGCCAGTGAGTAGTGATAAGTATGGTGTGAAATGTGAAGCAGTTCGGATGGCAGCCAGAGGCCATTCCCATGAAGGATTTTGGGAGGGGATTCTGATCTCTATCCCTAAAATAGAAGAGAACCAGAAGAATGGCTCTGGACCTGTGTGTGTGTATGTGCGCGCGCGCGCGTGTGCGTGTGTGCTTGTGCATGTGTGTGTGTGTGTGTGTGTGCGCGCTCACGCGTGTGAGCGTGTATGTGTTCTACCCACTCAAGCTGGATAACCTTGAATGAGTCACTTCGCCTCTCTGGGTTTCCTTATCTGGAGAATGGAGCTAACACTTCTGCCCACCCTTCACAGGCCTATTGAGAGAGTCCCCGGAGAGCTCTTCCAAATTACTTGACTGGGGCCTCATTCTGGAAATGGGGTCCAGGACAGTGTAACCATCAGTATCTCTGGACTCAGAAAGGCCAACTGCTCTGCCCTTTGCTTCTCCTCAAGTCAGCAGCAACCACAGCTCAGAAAGAGGCAGGAGAGTGGAAAGAATGCAAGAAGTTGATAGGGAGTGTAGCCTTTCCCTCAAAATCTTATGCAGGAGGACCACCCCTCCCATATGGCCCCCTCCTTAGAAAGTTACTCAACCATTCCTGTTTCCAGCCAGTCTCAACCCCTCCTGATGGTTGCCTGCAGTAGGTGTCATCACCTACATATGCTGGTATAGCCCCTCGATATGGCTGGTCCTGAAGAAAGAAGAGCAAGAAGAGGAGGGAGAAGAGGCAGAGATGGAAGCAGAGATGAGAAGTGATGCTTTCCTTGCTCCATTGCTGTAGTCTGGGAAGACACTGTCCCCATTTTACAGCTGAGCAAGCCAAGACTCTGAAGCCACTCACCTTAAGTGGCAGAGCCAGGAATGTGGCCTTGCCTATCCGGGGTCTCTGTGCTGATCCTTTAGCCACCAAATAATGAATTTGGGGGCCTAAGGGCTAGATGGAAATTCAGTGAGCACCTGACAGCAATTATCATGTGTCTTTAGTCACAGTGGATCCTGAATATTCTGCTTTGTGGGCAGAGGGAAGAAAAGGAGGAGAGAAGAGAGGATGGGGGGGGGGGAAGGTAAAGGAAGAAGAAAAGGAAGATGAGGATAAGAAGGGAAGAGAAGAAGGAAAGGAAGAGAGAATGGGGAACATAAACTGTTGATGGAGAAAGATGGAGAAGATGGTTTTGAGGCTTCGAGTCCCTTGACTACCCCCTTGTCCTGAGTTTTCTTCTCCTTATAGCCATAGTTCCTATTTCCTCACACGACCCTGCTGGGTATGAAGCCTGGGCCTTGTAAGCAGATGCTCTACCCCTGAGCTTCACCTCTAGCCCAGAACCTTGTTGGGTAGGCTCTCAAAAGTAGTCTGACTGGCCAGAGCTAGCCCGTTGGTACTTGGCCTTGGGTTAGGTATCAACCTGCAGCCAGATAAGGACTATAACCTACCCAGACAGAGAAGGAATGGAGAAAATACGCTAGGCTGGGACTTCAATAAGAAGCCATTGCAAGGTCTCTGCCTCTAGAAGGGCTCCACAGCTCTCTCAGGTCTTTCTTCCCCCAGGTGAAAGGAGTCAGGGCACAGTCTGTCACTTCCATTCTACAGATCAGAAAACCACAGCCCTGAGACAACAAAGGGCCTTCCTTAGACCACACAGTCAATCGCAGAGCTGAGAAAGTGCCAAGCTGACCCAACTTCCATTTCTGTTCCTGTGCTTCCTATCCCTCC